CAATTTGGAGAGAAAATTTAGAAAAATAGTTGAGGATGTGTTAACTGACCAACATGGAAATTTGGGTAACATTACATATAGACATTTAGAATTTACAAATAATCAAGTATCAAGAATTCGTATAATAAATTTCGGAAATACTTTTAGAAAAGCAGAAGACAAGGGTCAAAACTCTAGGGAAGGACCACGTAGCTAAGGAGAAGGATAAATACAAGCGATATAAGTACACATACTTTATAATTTAATCCATAAACGGGAAAAAAATTGAAATCACTTTTTCTTTAACTACTCAGGTTAATTGAAGCTCTTAGTGAAGAGTCAATCATGAAAGCTTATCACGAGATTAAGTTAGACGTGCTGCAAATTTATGTCCCCAAACCGGAAACATTTTCAGGGGAGTATAAATGCCCTCGTCAAAAGGTGTTATGGTTATACTTATATATTCTAAAACAATGTTTAAACTAATTTTCGTGATTGAAAGATCTGGGTCGAACGGAAGCCAAACTTTTGTGCAAATTTACAACAAATGGTCGTCTCGTATCCCTTTTCTGCAAAATCTTTCCAAATCATTTCCACCCAACTTTCTTCTGATCTGAGGAAAGCTGAGAACATGGAAACCCTTGCATTCAATGTCAGTATAGCAGGTTAAATGCACCAAGTTATTCCGCACTTAAAAATATTATTGATTTTGCAGGATATTCTACAAGTATCCAACGTGCTCGTACCCGAAGCTTTTGAACGGATTTACTCCAAAATTATGCAAATGCCTCTCGAACACGCTCAGAGGGAACTGGAAAACAATTTTCCAACTTAACAAACGCGCAACAAAAATTCCATTCAGGAGCGTACAAAATTATTTTACTCTTTTAACTAATCTTTTCACAAATAACTAATTAAACAAACTCCAACAAATTTTAACCTATTTTAATTTTTTCAATCGTGTAAATAAATTTATTTATATACATTCCATCAATTTAGTCTGCATGAAAATGTATTGACTCAGCGACGCGGGACCAATTTTTATCCACGGCAGCAACCCTTATGCACATCGTGTAATTGCGCATTATTATTTGAAGTCATTCCGTAACTTCTGCTTATATAAATATTTATAATGTGATGAGTACAAATTGTCATTGTAAAAATACAAGTCCTGGGCAGGAAATTTTTTGTCCGGATGCGGGTCGGCGGAGTCTTATGAAGCATGTAATTGTGCATTATTTTAATTTTCAAAGAATGCCGTAAGTCAAATGCCGCGCTGGGGAAATCAAAATCCAATCATGACATAAATTGACTAGAAATTGACAAGTGCGGGGCGGGAAATTTTTTGTCAGGATGCGGGTCGGCGGAGTCTTATGGAGCATGTAATTGTGCATTATTTTCGATTTCAAAGAATGCCGTAAGTGAAATGCCGTGCTGGGGAAGTCAAAATCCAATCATGACATAAATTGACTAGAAATTGACAAGTGCGGGGCGGGAAATTTTTTATCCGGATGCGGGTCGGCGAAGTCTTATGGAGTATGAAATTGTGCATTATTTTCGATTTCAAGGAATGCCGTAAGTGAAATGCCGCGCTGGGGAAGTCAAAATCCAATCATGACATAAATTGACTAGAAATTGACAAGTGCGGGGCGGGAAATTTTTTGTCAGGATGCGGGTCGGCGAAGTCTTATGGAGTATGAAATTGTGCATTATTTTCGATTCCAAGGAATGCCGTAAGTGAAATGCCGCGCTGGGGAAGTCAAAATCCAATTTTGACATGAATTGACTAGAAATTGACAAGTGCGGGGCGGGAAATTTTTTGTCAGGATGCGGGTCGGCGGGGCCTTATGGAGCATGTAATTGTGCATTATTTTAAATTTCAAAGAATGCCGTAAGTCAAATGCCGCGCTGGGGAAGTCAAAATCCAATCATGACATAAATTGACTAGAAATTGACAAGTGCGGGGCGGGAAATTTTTTGTCAGGATGCGGGTCGGCGAAGTCTTATGGAGTATGAAATTGTGCATTATTTTCGATTTCAAGGAATGCCGTAAGTCAAATGCCGCGCTGGGGAAGTCAAAATCCAATCATGACATAAATTGACTAGAAATTGACAAGTGCGGGGCGGGAAATTTTTTGTCAGGATGCGGGTCGGCGAAGTCTTATGGAGTATGAAATTGTGCATTATTTTCGATTTCAAGGAATGCCGTAAGTGAAATGCCGCGCTGGGGAAGTCAAAATCCAATCATGACATAAATTGACTAGAAATTGACAAGTGCGGGGCGGGAAATTTTTTGTCAGGATGCGGGTCGGCGAAGTCTTATGGAGTATGTAATTGTGCATTATTTTAATTTTCAAAGAATGCCGTAAGTCAAATGCCGCGCTGGGGAAATCAAAATCCAATCATGACATAAATTGACTAGAAATTGACAAGTGCGGGGCGGGAAATTTTTTGTCAGGATGCGGGTCGGCGGAGTCTTATGGAGCATGTAATTGTGCATTATTTTCGATTTCAAAGAATGCCGTAAGTGAAATGCCGTGCTGGGGAAGTCAAAATCCAATCATGACATAAATTGACTAGAAATTGACAAGTGCGGGGCGGGAAATTTTTTATCCGGATGCGGGTCGGCGAAGTCTTATGGAGTATGAAATTGTGCATTATTTTCGATTTCAAGGAATGCCGTAAGTGAAATGCCGTGCTGGGGAAGTCAAAATCCAATCATGACATAAATTGACTAGAAATTGACAAGTGCGGGGCGGGAAATTTTTTATCCGGATGCGGGTCGGCGAAGTCTTATGGAGTATGAAATTGTGCATTATTTTCGATTTCAAGGAATGCCGTAAGTGAAATGCCGCGCTGGGGAAGTCAAAATCCAATCATGACATAAATTGACTAGAAATTGACAAGTGCGGGGCGGGAAATTTTTTGTCAGGATGCGGGTCGGCGAAGTCTTATGGAGTATGAAATTGTGCATTATTTTCGATTCCAAGGAATGCCGTAAGTGAAATGCCGCGCTGGGGAAGTCAAAATCCAATTTTGACATGAATTGACTAGAAATTGACAAGTGCGGGGCGGGAAATTTTTTGTCAGGATGCGGGTCGGCGGGGCCTTATGGAGCATGTAATTGTGCATTATTTTAAATTTCAAAGAATGCCGTAAGTCAAATGCCGCGCTGGGGAAGTCAAAATCCAATCATGACATAAATTGACTAGAAATTGACAAGTGCGGGGCGGGAAATTTTTTGTCAGGATGCGGGTCGGCGAAGTCTTATGGAGTATGAAATTGTGCATTATTTTCGATTTCAAGGAATGCCGTAAGTCAAATGCCGCGCTGGGGAAGTCAAAATCCAATCATGACATAAATTGACTAGAAATTGACAAGTGCGGGGCGGGAAATTTTTTGTCAGGATGCGGGTCGGCGAAGTCTTATGGAGTATGAAATTGTGCATTATTTTCGATTTCAAGGAATGCCGTAAGTGAAATGCCGCGCTGGGGAAGTCAAAATCCAATCATGACATAAATTGACTAGAAATTGACAAGTGCGGGGCGGGAAATTTTTTGTCAGGATGCGGGTCGGCGAAGTCTTATGGAGTATGAAATTGTGCATTATTTTCGATTTCAAGGAATGCCGTAAGTGAAATGCCGCGCTGGGGAAGTCAAAATCCAATTTTGACATGAATTGACTAGAAATTGACAAGTGCGGGGCGGGAAATTTTTTGTCAGGATGCGGGTCGGCGGGGCCTTATGGAGCATGTAATTGTGCATTATTTTAAATTTCAAAGAATGCCGTAAGTCAAATGCCGCGCTGGGGAAGTCAAAATCCAATCATGACATAAATTGACTAGAAATTGACAAGTGCGGGGCGGGAAATTTTTTGTCAGGATGCGGGTCGGCGAAGTCTTATGGAGTATGAAATTGTGCATTATTTTCGATTTCAAGGAATGCCGTAAGTCAAATGCCGCGCTGGGGAAGTCAAAATCCAATCATGACATAAATTGACTAGAAATTGACAAGTGCGGGGCGGGAAATTTTTTGTCAGGATGCGGGTCGGCGAAGTCTTATGGAGTATGAAATTGTGCATTATTTTCGATTTCAAGGAATGCCGTAAGTGAAATGCCGCGCTGGGGAAGTCAAAATCCAATCATGACATGAATTGACTAGAAATTGACAAGTGCGGGGCGGGAAATTTTTTGTCAGGATGCGGGTCGGCGGAGTCTTATGGAGCATGTAATTGTGCATTATTTTCGATTTCAAAGAATGCCGTAAGTGAAATGCCGCGCTGGGGAAGTCAAAATCCAATCATGACATAAATTGACTAGAAATTGACAAGTGGAGCCATGTTGACAGATTTAGGCAATTTTAAGGTCATTGGAGGCATGGCGACAGATTTAGGTCATTTTAAGGTCATTGGAGGCATGGCGACAGATATAGGTGATTTTAAGGTCACTGGAGGCATGTTGACAGATTTAGGCAATTTTAAGGTCATTGGAGGCATGGCGACAGATATAGGTCATTTTAAGGTCACTGGAGGCATGTTGACAGATTTAGGCAATTTTAAGGTCATTGGAGGCATGGCGACAGATTTAGGTCATTTTAAGGTCACTGGAGGCATGGCGACAGATTTAGGTCATTTTAAGGTGACTGGAGGCATGGCGACAGATTTAGGCAATTTTAAGGTCATTGGAGGCATGGCGACAGATATAGGTCATTTTAAGGTCACTGGAGGCATGTTGACAGATTTAGGCAATTTTAAGGTCATTGGAGGCATGGCGACAGATTTAGGTCATTTTAAGGTCACTGGAGGCATGGCGACAGATTTAGGTCATTTTAAGGTGACTGGAGGCATGGCGACAGATTTAGGTCATTTTAAGGTCACTGGAGGCATGGCGACCTTTATTACTTAATTTACGGCAGCAGATATTAGCCGATTTTGAGGGGTGCTAATAATGTGTGTGCATACTGTATTGTTCCGAGTCTCAATTTTGCTCATAACCGGTTCTAACTTCACAGACGTGAATTTGGCATTGTTGACAAACTTTGGACCCAGCTCACAAATCGCGCTGTTATTACTGACTGGATCTACACATCAAAATACGAGTAAAAATGTTGCAGCGGTTTTTGCGTCGAAACTATTCTCAAGTTGTTTACAAACAGGGTCAGGAAAATCACAAGGACCCAAAAATTAGGGAATACTTTTACTTCGTTGATCACAATGGAATGGTAAGTTCGCATGCATTGTTGTTGTTCCGAATCATTGTCGGAAATCATCAAGGGGCATGTAGTGATTTCTCTCATTTTTCTCATCTCAAGCTCTTCCTGGACGATTCACGTATGAAAAATTTTACATCCGCGTTTAAAGGTTTATTTATTTAATAAAATAAAATAAAATAAATAATTATTATAATATTATTTCCAAAGTTTATTTTATTATCAGATCCCGTGTTTCTAACATTTTTTCTGCGAAATCTGAAGCACAACCCATACTCAGATTATAAAGACGCCTTTCCATACGTGTCCCTTTGTGGAGGTGATTGCTAATTTATTGCTATTATTATCATTATTTATTATTATTGATCCTATCCTACTGGTATTATTAGTGGAGAGAAATTATACACGATGCGACGATCTTCCTATCGTGTTTACAAAGTTGACTGGATCTACTCTTCATTACGGTTATTACACGGACAAATTGACGGTAAATTTCTTCCCAGAAAAATTACAAATTGCAAGTAACGGGAGGCTATATCACCCAACATTTCTTAAGCTGCCCAAAGTTGAGAATGGACTACTGCGATCACAACTAGTAATGGACCTTAGTAGTAAACTTATTTATGATACAAATAATAAGGCAATTGGTATACGTTGGGATGGAAAAGAAACTTTATTCTCGATAAAGTAAAATTGATTTTGCATTAGCGGAGCCGACGAGATTCACGTATTGTTGCAAAACTATGTCGTCGTCAGATTGTCGAAGTGTTTTGTATATTCGGTACGGCATAATGGATCTCTTAAACAGAAGCGTCACCTGGTACCAAATTAAGACATTTGACTGATTAAATATAGATAAAATAATTTAAACGCATCTACGATAATAATTTTACCTGTTGAATATCTTCATTATTATTATCTGGTGCTTGTTGTTGTGGTTCTCCAAATCTCACATATTTTTGGTCGTCCAACATTTTTCTCAGTTCATCATCCAACAATCTCCAAGTGAAACCTTCAGGACAGAGTAAGTACGAAGGGCTGAAGTTACCTTTGTATCTCATCTTTTGGCAGGAGTGGATGTAGAATCTGTAACAGTAAATTAAATTAGATTGAGAAATTACTGTGTAGTTTACTAGAGAGAAGCAAAATAATATCGATATAAATTATTATACCCCATGTAGTAGTACTTGAAATTGGGAACTTCTTTTGACATTTGGCGAACAAATAAAATTTCATACCTGCGAGATTTATGAATATGTAGCAATTTTCCAACTATATATTTTTTTAATTGTTGAATACTCACAATGCTCCAAATGTTCCTAACGTTCCGATCATGAATGCAAATATAAATAAACATAAATTATTATCATTGAGTGTTTTGTTTGCATGATGTGTATCAAAAATTAAAATTATTGCTTTACCTAATGATAATTGCATTAAATCTGGATCATAGAAAAAATAAACGGAGCTGAGCTGCAATTAAAAAACACAATTTTTACTGAATGTTCAAATATTTTGTTGCCAATTCCATTACACAAGAGGGCAAGATATCCACAACTCCAACTGCTATAAGTTTATCACTGATGTAGTACTGATGATGAAATGATCCATATTTTGGTGCATTGGACTGAAAAATCAAGCAAATAAAAAGGGTTATCAATTTATGTAATGCTTTAGTGCGAAATAGGTCTATACAAATGTTGATTTGTGTTAATCATACCGTCATTGACAATGGGGTTTTACAAAGGAAGCGTTTAAATTGTTTGAGATCACAATCGGCTTCCGTATCCTCATGGATCTTCATCTGATACTTTTTATAAAAAGAAAAATAGAAGGTATTATAAAATTTTAAATTCATTTAGCACTGTTGAAAATTTTTTTTATATACATAAAATTAGCATAAATTAAATCTCTATATTCTGTATAAACAATTAGTCTCATGACGAGACACAGCATCTCAAAAATAAAGATGCAAGTTCACGGGAAGCTTATAATTTATAATAATAATTAATACCTTTCGATAAAGTTCGTGCTCAGTTCCTAGCCCTGCTAAAAACTCTGGTGTTCCCAATTTGACATATTTGACCGAAAATCCTGGAGTAGACTCAAAATAATCTTCAATACATTTCTTTTCCTTTGAGTCATTTATTCCCAGGTGTGAGCCGAACTACATATAATTTAATTTCACGAAACTTTTAAATCGTTCATAGTTGAACAAATTGAGCATTTATGCAAATCTAGTCACCTTTTTTAAAACTTTCTTTTGAGACTTGGATAGCTTAAAGTCTAATGCGTGGCAATTAATTGTATACATTGGACAACAGGTAACCGAGTTGGTAGGCTTGTACAAATATGACCCTGACCTGTAGTGACAGTGAATTTATTAATAACTCGATGAATAAAGTTAAAAATGCATTTCTGTTACCTCCTCCACCCACGATTAAGTAAATTTTCATAGTCTTGAACCATGAGAGAGTGACCCCACATGCCATGCGAATAATTAGTATCCACACACTTACAGTAACCACATTTGTAAGCCTCATGTTCTGCGTAGTATTCGAGAATCGTGTGTTCAGTCATTTTATTGTTTATCAGCTAATTTGCAAACTTTTACAGAAGAAATTCACATTTTCTCTAAAAGTATAAGTAGTTCTACCAGTTTCAAAATTGTACTCAAATGTTTAATACAATAAATTAAGTTATTGTTTATCACACGAAAATTTTATTATTATTAGCTCGAGAATAGGAAAAAAAGTAGTGTAGTGAAAAGTATAGTGGTCCAACACGGACCCGAGTTGAGAATGATGATGAGATGGCCCATCTCAGATGGGTCTTTGCTCTCCCACACGCACGTAGCTGGTTCACTTTCCCCAATCTGCTTCTACGTGTGCATAGTAATACATGTCTCAACAAGTAAAATATTCTGTAATAAATGAGACGAGAAGATACGTTTATAGTTAATAATAATAGTAATTTCCGAGGGATGGACGTCGTTAAGTTGTAGATATTTGAGATGGATGATCGAGTCATCGTCTACTTTCCTCGGCGGTAACCACTCCCACCACCACGCCCCTTCTTGCCCCCTTTCTCTTCTTTCTTTGTTTCTGCAGGTCGCTTGGCCTGTGTGGTTGACTTTACGGTGAAAAACGTGTCGAGTCGGACTTGGGTCGATGTTTGTTTCGCTTTCTGCAGCTTTTTGGATCCATTTCGAATTCGATCTTCAGCAAAACCTTGTGATTTGGAAAATTAAATTTTATTAAAATTGAGCTTATAGCCAATAAATGCAAACGTAATGAGTTATTTAGTCACCTTTTTCTTCGACGAGGAATTTTACCAATCCTTCTTCGTCTGGCCCAGTCCAATTGAGTTCGACTTGATCGGATTCAGTGATTTCAGGTTCCTTAAATAATCGTCGAGCCTCTTTAAACGGCCAGTTTTCAGGTACTCCATACTTTTTGCTGTCAATTTTCTCCACAATAGTTTCGATGCTTCGATGTTGACGAATCAGATCCAATGCTCTCTTGGGACCAATACCTTTGATAGAGTCGCAATAATCACATCCCAGCAGGATACACATGTCGATGAACTGGGTCAATAAACAACATCAGTATTCGTTAATTCCAATGATATTAATATCAAGAGAGAAAGTCTACAATTAACATACCTCATCCATCGTAAATTCCAAAGCTTCAAGCACTTTTTCCAAATAAAATTCTTTAATTGGCATTTTCCTAGCCTGAAAAATTATTTGTATTTTAAGTAGATGGACAATAATTATATGATGATAACACTAAATAATTATAACATGCCAAGTTACTCACTTCGCTAAATGTCAAGTGACGCAGGAGAACCTTGGTTCCAAATGCTGTACATTAAACCATTTAAAATTAATCAATCATATACATATATCATACTAACGATTTACATACTCAATGCATCCATATCTTCAGTGGCAACAGCATAAACCTTTCCCGATTTTTGTAATGCGGCACACTGGGCTTCGGCTTCACAAGGGGCCTAGTCATCAGGAAATTGATTATAATTCTAATTCTCTGCCTGAAATTTAATTGGAAAATAAAAAGTTTGATTTTTACAGTGACAAACGGAATTCCCATCAATTTCAAAAGTTTCTGAGCTTCTTCCACGTGAGTTTTTGAAACTTTGACCAATCTTCTCGATTGCTTATCGATCTCTTCAACATTCCCAGCTTCGACAGCAATGTCCAGGGCCTATTATTATTACAACTTTATATTGTCCAAGCCACATAAATCAGAAAATAAAATTTAAATAAATACAATAATGTATTGGTACCTTTTGAGCCTCATTTCTTCTTTCCGTCCGTTTTTCCAACTCTCCTGATTTCATTTGTGGAGGTTTCCCATCGAAAACGTAGACGGGTTTGATTCCATTCTCCACCATACGAATCGTCCTGCAAAAGTATTATTATTCCCTAATTTATAAGGCCTTTTTACAGCGTTGTGTGGGATTTATTTAAAGACACACTTTTCACTTCTATAATTAAAAATAATACTTAAAAAATAATATACCTGTAAAAGAATCCCATGAGGTGGGACGTAGTTTCCCCATCTGCGGACGTCAGCTGGGCCCCCTCCTGACGAACGGCAATCAAAAACTGATACAAGCTCATGGAGGCGTCCACCGCAACTTTTCTCCCTATGACAGAAAATAATCCACTAATTATATTTCCCACAATTAACACTATCTTGTACATTGAATATTATTCATGAAACTTCCCACTCACCAAAGTAATTCTTGAACTCATTCTCTTTGATGGCTTGAGGAGCAATGTCTCCAATGAGTTTCGCTAGTCCAAGAATACCCATTGCGTGACAATCAAGTGGATTGAATCAATTAACACTGCTGTAATTAAATTTACAATTTAGCTAATTGCAATCAGTTTACTTTTAATGAATGTAAACAGACGTAAATATTATTAGTAGAGAGAGAAACCAAACAAGCGTGTGAGCTGCAAACGACAAAGAGTTGCGAGTGCGAAACCCGCTCCGAGTTTCTTCACTTTCTTTGCCACCAAACTGATACAAGTCAGACCATGGACAAACCTGTCTCACTTTTTGATTCTCACAACAATACTGAAACTGATGAAAGAAAGTCAATAATTTAAAATTTTAGGACACTTTAAATGTATTTAAAAATCTATTAATACTAGTAGAAACTTGAAGGATGGCATCATCGACTGCGTCGGGTGTTGAGGGGTCAAACCCTGCTGAGGAAATGCTGATACGTCTCGAATCGTCTACCCATGTTTCCAACTTGACCAAGAAATTACAAGAACAATTCCTCAACAAGGCGTTGGTGGATATCGCACTAGTCACGGAAGAAGGACAATTCATTCATGCTCACAAGTTTATTCTTTCGGCTGGCTCACCATATTTCAAGGCACAGTGAATTATAAATCTTAATAATTGTAACTTTAGTATGAATTAATTTGATACTAATGATTAATCTGTATTAATTTCTCATTTGTTTTAGGACATTATTGACCACGCTTCAAAGCTAAAGTCCACTCACAGCTCATCTTGTCCCTTAATTATTTGTCTTTCTGGGATGAAATATGTTCATCTTTATCCACTGATAAAGTACTTATACACTGGCAGTGTGGATGTTTCTCAAAACGATCTCAGAATTTTGATAAAGACTGCATTTCAACTAAAAATTAGTGGGTTGTATGAAGAGGCAGAAGATATTATGCAAAGTTCGGAAGCAGAATTTACAAACGATGACAGTAATAGCAACGATTTGGGCATTGAAAGTATTTTCAAGGAAGAACAAGATGAAGATACAATTGACGAAGATAACGAAGTCGATGATGAACCATTCCAGCATTTTTTAGTAGAAACTGATATTGTGGAAGATCATGCACAGTCGTCTGCAGATTTATCCTCAGTTAGCCGTCTATCGCAACCACCCCCACCATCATTTACTCCCAAGAAGAGACGTTCTTTATCTAATCGGTTTTCGAAAAGCTGCAATCGAAAAAGTGACAGTAACCAGCCGGGAAAGGTAGTCCAATGTTGTAACTGTGGAAATGTCTATCGATGTAATAAGTCCTTATGGAGGCACAAAAAGTTCAACTGCCCAGCTACCGAGAGTACGAAAGTAACGTTTGTATGCAAAATTTGTGCAAAAGGGTTTAGTCGGTCTGATAATTTAAAGAGACATGTCATGATTGCACATCAGGAAAAATGCTGACAAGGTTGAAATTTGCATGTTTACTAAACATGGCATATGAGATTTTACCAGAGACTTAAAAGTTGGTCTGTACAGAAAATTAATTGGATTAAACTATTTTTACTGCAAGATCTCAATAGTATATTTATAATTTTGTAAAGTCTGAAAACCATTACAAAACTTAAAAATAAATTTTAACTCTTAAAATCTCATTTCTTCATTGCAAAAACTCATCATTCCCACTGTTCTACTCTTTGCCAAAGGGTCTTTGTTCCATTTCCATTTTAATCTTGCTGACTGATTTAGTGTGACTGTGCGAATCCCTGCAATGCGACGACCAGACGAGTTTTCTCTTCGGTGTCCTCAGAGGACTGACCGGAAGTCATAGAGTCGAGCCCGGCGGTTTGGTGGTGAAAGTCCCATAATAATAACACGGAGATAGATTCAGAATCTCTGCTGGGTTGTGCCCACCTCACTCGTCACAATTTGCACAGGCAAAATTCGCTATTATTTGCGATTTGTTCAACTTTATTTGCACAAGGGGAGAAAGCGATAAAATAACGGCTTATGTTTTTTTATTTAGTTCGCTTCCATGCGTAAATGCATAAAAGTCCATCAATATTAGTTAGGCAGGCAGTTCACAACTTTGGTGTAATGTCGGATTAAAAAGACTCAAGTTAACGGTTAAACTGGAGATCTCATGAATTATCATCATTCCTTAGTTTTGTACTCAACTTGATAATTTTTCTACCGTTTATTAAGGAGGAGAGTGATAACTATGAAGGTTGTTTTATTAGAGTTTAACCTTATAACTCTGACCGTGTGCACAACTAGATAATAATAAAAGATCGTAAAGGACAGGATAAAATACAATGCAGTATGCATAGGGACCTTATAATTAATGATTGGTCCATTAATTTATCTAAATCGATATGATATTTAGGGAAAAAGTCCTATTGATAAGTCCAGTGATTACATTTGGTTGTTTAATCGTCCGTAAATTGTGGACAATAATAATTTCGTGATTTAGAACAAACGGTACTACATCACCCTGTAAAATACTCTTGAAACAAATTGTTGTGTTTTTTCACAGACAACAAATAATAATAATAGGTGTAGAAGAAATTGCTGGAGAAAGTAGGTCTAACATAAAGTACTAGAAACTATCGGCATAGTACATTACGCATTAACGACTAGACTTTATAAAAGGTTGTTGTGAATAGTAATAATTATGGACGAATTAGAAGAACTTCGACAAGAGAACCATCGGCTAAATTTGCGGCTAGAAAGTCTTCGAAGTGCCTCCACGACGGAAATTGATTATCTCCGGGACGAGTTGAAAGAAAAGGAACGAGAACACAAGGAGCAATTGGAGAAAATTGCAGGGGACTTCAAGACGCGAGAGGTGGCTTTATTAGAACGGGTGAGTATTATGATTTATGATAGCTGGAAATTAAGTAGAATACATAGAAAAAATGGATGAATGAACATATTTTTTGTCAGACTGAAGCACTTAATGAGGATGTCAATTCTTCGCGAGATGAAGCTGATAAGCTGCGAGAACAAGTGGAAGCCCTCAAATTGAGTTTGGAACATCAGAAACTTCGAAATATTGAAGCAATGAATAGGAAATCTAACCATCCCATTAGCACCGATAATTACGAAACTCTTTTGGTAATATGCCAATTAATTATTATCAACCAGACTTTTAGCCGTATAAATAATCTTGAGCTAATAACTTTTGTATTATAATTTACAGGAAAGTTTGTCAGAAAAGGAGAAAGCACTTGGAAGAGCAAATGATACAGTGTCGAGCCAAAGTGATAGACTCAGGGAGTACAATGATGCAATCGAGTCACAGCGAAATAGGATCACCGAATTAAATGAAGACATTGAGGGGAAGCAATTAACAATACTGGAACAACAAGAAAGAATTCGACAACTGGAGGTGGAAAGAAAGGAACACCTCCAACAGAATCAGCAGCAAACACTAGACAAATGTGATACAGGAAAATCGAGAGGAAATTCATTATTTTCAGAAGTTGAAGAAAGGAGGGTAAAAGGTGCATACATATACATTTTTTATAATATTAGGTGGTAATAATTAGTGTTCACAGTAGTCACGACATACATATTTTCTGTTTGATTTATGTAGTTGAGGATGAATTAAAAAGACTTCAAGATCGCGTAACAAAGTTAACTGCAGAAAACATAGAACTTCAATCTACAGTTGACAGAGGTGATTTTCGTCATAATGCAGTAAATCATCAACTTCAACTACTTCAAAAATCAGAAGAACAAGTTATCAAAGAATTTAAGCAGCTCAAATCTGAAAGGGTGAATTTGTTTGAGGTAATTAAAGGACTTTCAATTTGTGTCGAATTTAACTTATGTGCAGTCATAATGTATGCGTGACTGTTTGCAGAAACTGTGTGAGCGTTTGGATTCAATACGGGATGAATACATGAAAAGACTATCCGAATACAAAGGAAACGAAGTTCTGAGTACCAATTTAGAACGGATAAGTGCCGATAGAGACAAATTGCTTTTAGCTAAAATTAACTTGGAACGAGAATTATTCGAATGTAGGAAGGAGCTAAAATATGTGAAGCATACAAAAACCGAGTGTGAATCACATTTGAAAATTTTGAGAATTAAAATGCAAGACCAAAATGACAGAAGAGCAGCTTCGCGTTCACCAAGAAAGAAAAATGGTAATGATTCATTGTTATTATTAATTTCAAATTTATTAAATTGAACTTTATTCATTTATTTCGTTGTTGATGATTGTGATGCAGTGTAAAAATAATACTTTGTGCTATCCTAAAAAAAATAGACTCGAATCATGTGGATGATAAAACGGAGGACGCCACGGCTGATCAAAGTAATGGTTCAATGGAGATAGAAAATAACTTAAGTACAGAATATCCCAAAAAATCAGCAGAAGAAATTTCTGAATGTAAACAGCAATAAATAGTTATTTACACTTTTTCTTCTTTAATTCTTGTTAAATCGTCTCCTAATTTGCTCTAATTGAGCTGTGAGATTTGGAGGTAAATCTGTTAAGAAATAAGAAATGGACGTTACCATCAACATTACAATCAATCAAGATCCTGGAGAATGACATGGCATAATTTAAGAATTATTATAATGCTACAAGGAAACATTCTTACCAGTTCCTATATTATCGCTAAAGTATTTTTCAATTGCGGACAATTCGTTGAGCCAAAAGTCCTTTGGCAAGGAAAATAGTTCATCCCATTTGATTTTGTCCAGTCCTTCCACGTTAAATGCACTTTCTCTTGGAACGTAGCCGATTGGAGTTTCCAATGCAGAATTCGATTCACCGTCAACTCGTCGTAAAATCCAGTCAAGAACTCTGACATTATCACCGAATCCAGGCCACAGGAAACTTCCCTGCAATATTTATAAATAATATTAATTCTAGTAATTTTGAAATCTTTTGTACATTTTTTGTAAACTGTATGTTTCTGCATATTTGAATGTAATTTAAAAAAAGAGCCTGAATAATACCTGAGCATCCTTCCTGAACCAATTGACATGGAAAATTTTTGGTAATCTGTGATGTTTCCCTTTGAAGCTGAGCCAGTGGTTGAAATAATCGCCCATATTATAACCAACAAATGGCCTCATTGCAAATGGATCGTGCATTACAACTTTTCCCTATTCGTACAATAATTACATCACAGTTTAGATTTGAGTTATTATAAGACGCAATTGAGTTCAAAAATATTATTACAAACCTTAAATTCTGCAGCAGCCGTAGCCTCGCTCCTCATTGAGGCACCCATGTACACACCATGATCTGAAATAATAATTCATACTCTAGTCATTTTCATTCAAATCAATTTTTTAAATAATTATGCACGATTGTAATTCCAGTGCTTACCCCAGTCATAACTTTCATAGACAAGTGGAACCCCTTCTGGCCTGCGTCCGCCAAAAAGGATTGCAGAGATTGGAACTCCTTCAGGGTCTTCCCTATGGAATACAAATAAAGTTTTTGATAAACCTGACTGTTGAGCATGTCTTATCCTGAGGTGTCTGCACTACGTACCATGAAGCATCCAAAATAGGACATTGCTTCGCCGGCGAGCAAAATCTAGAATTAGGATGTGCAGCAGGGGTTTTGTGAGTTGAAGGGCTCCAATTGGCTTCACCAGTCCAGCTGGTCACAGTCGTGGGAGCTTTTGGGAGTGGCAGCCCTTCCCACCACACCCCACCATCACTTGTACTGGCAACATTGGTGAACACCGTGTCCTTGAATATTGTCGCCATTGCCACAGGGTTCGTATTATCACTGGTTCCTGGGGCCACTCCAAAAAATCCGTTCTCGGGATTAATTGCTGAAATTAGAAAATTTACATAAAATTTACAAATTCTGAAATATTCTTAATCATGTCATTTATTATGTTGGCATATTTCCATACCATGTAACATTCCAGTCTTTTTATTAAATCTCATCCATGCAATGTCATCTCCAACGCATTCGACCTGTTTACAAAGTTTGAAGAAACACGTGAGATGAGTGTATGGCATAACCCAACTTGTGTATATAATTTCTCACAAGTACTACTACATACTAACTGACAAAGCTTAGTTGTAATGTGTTATGAGTTACCTTCCATCCTGGAAGCTTTGGCGTCATCATTGCCAAATTTGTTTTGCCACAAGCTGATGGAAATGCTGCGGCAATATATTTTTTGACCCCTTGTGGATTTGTGATGCCTATTCGCATAATAGATTCGGGTATTTATTTGGATAGGACACATTTTTTAATTAGTATAATTGATTATCTTTACTCAACAAGTATGTAAATTTACATACCAAGAATCAGCATGTGCTATAATTAAAATAAATGAAAAATGTTACTATCAATCATCTCCACCCTGCTGATCTTTTATCTTATCATCATGAAGAACATGTGAAATATTGTGCATAGTTACCTCAGCTAACCATCCTTCTTTTTTAGCTAAAAATAAAGTAGGCATTGACCGATAAGTAATTTTTCTCTTGCATTGAGCAACGATGCATGTGCATATACATAAAGAGTACATATTTACCTAACCAAGATCCGAGACGCAGAGCCAAGCACTTTTTACCAAGAAGCGAATTTCCACCATAACCTGAGCCGTACGAGATAATTTCATTGGTTTCTGGTTTGTGACTTATCATCGTATCTTCGGGGTTACAAGGCCATGGTACGTCAGAAGACCCAACCTCCAGAGGTCGACCAATCGAATGGAGGCATCTGATAATCAGCAAATTTTACGTATTACTACACGAAATGTACCACGAAATGTGGATTGAGGTCATGAGATGTTTGGCTGGTTTCACACTCGTGACGATTATGTAGTATAGTAGTCGTTGAGCAATGCAACAAAGATCATTGAATTTTATCGTGTGAGTGACTGAGGCAGTTTTTCTTACTTAACAAAGTCCATATCATGATTTTCAGTTAAGAGTTGCAGCACATCTGACCCCATGCGTGTCATAATCCTCATACTCGACGCCACGTATGGAGAATCCGTCAATTGGATACCAATCTTACTCAATCCAGAACCGACAGGGCCCATGGAAAACGGGATCACGTACATGGTTCGCCCTGGAGAGTTAAAAGATGCTCATAAATATAAATTGCATAGCCCATCACAGTCATGACGACGAGCAGATTAACATAATCGCAAAACTGCTACAAGTCGGATTAGTCAATTGTTTGCTCAGGATTTGGAATAAAATGTGTGCATGGAACGTCAGCCCACCTTTCATCGAGTTTGGAAACCGTTTCATAACTTCGGAATTAAGCTGTTGAGGACTCATCCAGTTGGGCACTGCAAATTTTGGAACAAAACACATGAGACCTCACCATGGGCGTAGTGGAGAGAGAACGCGTGGAACTTGATTAGATGCTTACGAGCTCCAGGCGTTGGGTTTTTGCCATTGGGGATCACTTGCTCTCGTCGTTCCGTGCTGATCACGGTTCGAGACTCAACTCGGGCTACGTCCTTTGGGTCCGTTCGCGCTAGCCAACTGCAATTACGATTTAATTAATAGAATGATTATGCCATGATCATAATATTCATCATTTGCATGACCATTCTATACGTACTGGAATGAGTGAGATGTTTTTACCAAGACGTGAAGTTGCATATTAAAAATTATTTCTTATATAAATTAATTACTGATACATAGTTTTACAAATCCATTCATGTTTGACGATGATGAATATTAGATTTATGTGTGTGCAGGCATAGTATTTCAAGGTGAAGTGAAGGTGCATTCATTTTGAGCAATACAAAAATATGTACACACCCTTCCTCATTATTAGAATATCTTCTAATAGAACGAATGCACTTGTGGGCTTGGTCGACGCAGCAGAGAGAAATTAAAAATAGATGAGAAAGGTGAACACTTTTAAATTTTCAACCCTTTCAAAATGTTTATGAAAGTCGGGAGACCCGAAATTTGAAGACTCAAGCGAGTGTGAAAATGTGAAAATGAAATATTTGACACCCAGCGGCCCATCGCATCATACATACATAAATACAATAAGCCAAGAAACTTGACATCCTTGGGCATTTTGCCCTAATTTTAAAGTTTCGGTCAACCTTTTCCTTCCCATTTGGCAGCGTACTCATTTTTAAAAAGAATATTTTTGAACCAATGATTGATTTCTGTATTGTAACAACGCAAAACACGTAAATTTGTGCATGTGTTAAATATATGTGGGTTAAAAAGGATTATTGAAAACAACTAAAATTGGCTATTTGGCCAAGTTAAAAAACACGTATTGTTATCTGTCATCTCTACTTTAACAGCAGTTTGTGTAACCACACTTGAAAAGAGAGTTATCAACCGAAAAACCTTGAATGTACAATTCCAGCATTGATGCTGATGACTAAACCATTTGTAAATTTGCTTGTGCCATTTACGTCATACGTATCAGACTAGACTGCTGACACTAATAGTATTAATGCAGGATCAAGAGCGGCTCAATCAGGCTGGAAATTACGTCTAGTTTAATATTAATCAATTATTCTTATCGGCAAATAGAGAGCGAATCCGGGATCAATAAATTGCAACATTCCCAAATTACACACATGCAAGCCACTAAAGTGTAGTAGTCTCAATCTCAACTTGGTCAAACGCAACTCGAACGAGACGTAAGTAAAAGTAATGCAACATGAACCTGAATTTTCGCATGTAATCGCAATACCGTGTAAATGTATGACTCCTACTCCTACTCCTGCTGCATTGCAGTAGTTACAACAAGATGATGCAACCACGCACTCAATGTTTATGAGATTTTCTTCAATATGTTTCTGCATTTTTCTTGTCGCCAATTTGGAAATGTAAAAAGTGAAAACTCACCAATTGTCATATTTCGGCAAAGCTTGAAGAGTTCCTTTTTGCACCATGAGATTTGTCAAGTTTTCATTTTCGCTTGCACTCCCATCACAAACGTGGATTGCGGAAGGAGCGCAAACTCTCACGGCTTCCTCGATAAACTCTGAGACCTGGAAAAAACAAATTAGTCACCAATTATTGACATATGTTCAGACAAGATGTACAGCTCGAGTTCAACATAAAAATACTGGCTCACCTTTTTGGGTAAAACGGCATAATTGATGTCCTTGCTCGCTTCCGTGATGGCAGCTGGAGCAGGTTGGCTATGAAATAGAGCCACTCGGCCAAGTCGGGGAGCAAATCGGTGCGAATTGTTGAGTAAATACATTTTATTTAAGAAATTTATGAACCACTTTGTAAGATTTCCTAAAACTGCATGTAATAATGCACTCTCGAAACACAGAGTGTGTGAGGAGAGGGAGATGTCAAGCTCAGAGCTGTCGTCGGTGTAATAGTAAAGAATTTGTTCAGCGAGCGATATTTATTAACAGGCTGGTTGGGCGAAGTCCAGCTTCAACTTTATGGTCAAATATCTCTCCGCCAGTTATTCAGCAGTGGATTCTGCAATGCAGCCAGTGTTTTTCCGTCCGTTATTTTATTATGGAGGGGAAAATATAATACGTGTTCGAGCTTTGAGACGGAATCGCCTACCTGACTTGATGCATGTGAGAAATGGTTCGGTTATTTTGTATGAGTGAGAAGACCCTACCAGCATCTCGTAGTTTGTTACATGGAACCATGACTTTAAACTAATGTTGAATGTACAAAGTTCTTACTTACTTGCTTACTACTGCTTTATGAATATTAAAAACTCGTGATTGGCAAATTGTGCTCTGCCTAACAGCCCATCCTGCTTTTTCATCCAATGAAAACTGAGTTGTTGGCGTTTAAATGCAACTACATACTTGTTTGGTTCGCATTTCGTTCGTGATCATATGATGAGGGTAAAATCTGCCAAAACGAGAGAATCTCTGTTACGTAAAATCCGCATAGACCTTCGGCTTTCTTCGTACACAAAAGCAGAATTTGTTTATTGTAAGATTCCGTTTTGTCAAAACAAACGCGTGAATGGGGGACTGAATTCGCTGCTGAACATTTAATACACATATGTACAAAAAGTAAGGTTTGTATTAAAAAAGAACCACGTGCTACATTTGATTACAAAAACAAAAACTTGTTGCCGCAAATATTATCAAGAAACTATATACACATCTTTATATTTACAAACTCATTCTAATACATGTCATGCGTATGAAAACAAATAGTTGACAAACCTGACTATTTATTTTTTTGTTTTAATATAGAGTAAATAAATACATGCAAATGTGGCAAACAACAAGTTGACGTCAACCCTTTATTGACGAGTCGCCTCATCATCATCATCAGCATCATCAGGTGGATTAAAAAGATCATCTCACCAATCGCCGGTTGTATTCAAATTGATAATCAAACAGACGAAGAAAGTTGACCTCAGATTTCAAGAAGATGGACAACACCGAGGGCGAAATTGACAATATCTGGAACTATTTGTTAATTACTTCCAGCTCCGTCGTCATAGCGATGGTGTCTGTTCTCATATTCGTTGCACTTGGTAGGTCAAGTTGTTTACATGAGCATTTTTTATTCAGTTAATTTTGTGGACATTTTACAAATTTCGAGACGTGATGTACTGACCATAAACATTTTCTATACGGATTTTAGACTTTACATTTTCAGTCAAATCCTACGTAATGTGTACGTGTGATCATTCAGTCAGCCTGACTGAGGCAGTAATTAAATGCGCCTCAAATAGACAGACATTTATTTATGCAGTATGTTCCGTATAGCAGGCTAATTTCACGTCATGAGTTAATTATCCAACAAACCAAACCAGTCCATAGGTCGTTGAGTCTTATGTGGACTTCTTCTTGGTCGGGTACAAAGTGCACTGCGAGTTAATTGTGTAGTAATTTTACCACAAAACCAGCCATATGTGGATTTATCCTGTTGAACTGAACTGCAGACTTTGCTTCGTTCGTATGAGACAAAAGTCATCATCAGTTTTGTCATGAGTTGCATGGAATTTTATTCTTGTTATCATCACAGCTCGTGCAGTGTGCCCTGTTGCAATCAAATCACATAGACGATTTTATATGCTAATTATTATACATTATATGATTAACTGTTCTGTCTACCATGCATTTGGTTTGATTAGAAGCATTTGTGATTGACAAGGCTATCACATAATATAATTTTAGCTCTTTACATCTTTTCCTTCTTCCGCAAAGGTTATGAAACTACTACTAACAATTAGCATCAACAGCTCACTCACAGACGCTGCCCCAGATCAGCGAGCTCTTGAATTCCATGTTTTTTTTGTGCATATTCTATTTAAATTTTATGTTTTTGTTGTTACTATTTGTTCATTCAATCCCTACTCAATATACTTGAAATAATTTTCCACTGTGTACAATGGCAGATTTTTAATGATGAGATAACCCAACTAACATATACATGAGCATACGAAGATAAAAGAATTAAGAAAGTTTAACAGATTTTATAGGTCGACTTTACGTCTTGTTGTTTGACGGATTTATTTGTTGTTTATTTATCTATCTAACCCTTCGTATAAGATATGCGACGAATTGCGACACTTTGCAGATTCAAATGACGCCTTGCTAAATGCATCATGAAATTATGAATGCTATAAAAATTAACCAATGAAATTATGCACCGAAAAGTATAACAAATTTAAACAATAAATTTCAGGATGGATGATTGTATGGTGGTGTTTTCTATCCCGTTTTAAATTTGTTCGTGAACTCCTTGGAGGAGACCAAGTAGCGAAGAATACGACTGACCAGCCAACCAGACGCAACCAACGAAGAAGACTGCAAGATTAATAGCGATATTAGAATTTTAGGTTATAAGTAATGACAATGTTTGTTAAATCGTCTTATTTTATTGAAAAAGCGCCGATCGATATTGTTCGAGATTTATTATTACAGATTAGCAGCACCGTACAGAATTGTAATCACAACATATTAATGTTTACTAATAAGAGTAACGAGTACCTATATTTATAAAATTACGCCGAGTACAAGGAAGAGCCGAATTTCAATTTATAGAGAAATTTGATTATCTAATTATTACTAATTATTATGACGATCGCGATGCAACTGTTGCAGTACACACTTTTGCCATGAATCGGAAACCCATGTGCATTCGAGGATACTAAATTCGTGTGCTAAATCATTACCGAGTTGTTTTGTATTTTTTGATGAGTATGTTTTATAAATTGACTTTGTATGTTCGTTAGCATTGACGTTTTGAAGTTTTGAAGCTAATTGTTCATGGTATCGACTCCCATCCCAAAGAACTTCGGTCACTAAAAACCCATTTTGGTACATCTCAGACGCAGTGCATACTTTTCCCATGTAAAGAAACGATTTCATCTATAAAAAAGGTTAAATGCAACACGCATATCAATAAAACAATAATGAAGGATATTTGCATATTAATAAAATTTTATTGACATTGAGCCAACATATTATAAGCTAAATACTCACTGTTGGTGTTTGTAATTGCATCTGACTGAAAACGGAGATTCCTTCCGGAGGTTGTTTGAGAGTGAAATACTTTTGTAGGCTGAATGTTGCTTTGTCATTCGCATAAACCAGGTCGAACAGCCCAAGGAGTACCAAGCCAAAGCTGTTTCAAATAAATTCCATACATTAAACATTTACATTTCACTAAAATGAGCAAATCAATTCATTAAATGATTTAATTTCAGAATTTTAAAATTTATTTTTGAATTTATTGAGGGCAGATTTGAGAATTTCTCATCCAGCGCAAGATTAATAAAACTGTGTAAGAATTGTTTCAAAAATGCCCGAAAGTAGTAAAGGAATATTTTAGAAAAAATAAAAATAGAAAAAATTAACTTTTAGTAGAAAATTCAACAAAAGTTACCTGTTCACTTTTCCACCGTTAACAGAAGCAATCAAAAGTTTTTACTTTTCGCCAGCGTGTTCAAAACATTTCTGAGAAAAAAATAAGCCCGATAAATAAATAATCTTTTAACAAGTAATTTTTTAAATAAGTTTCTAATAATAATAATTATTATTTAAATAGGTAAATTACTTGATGCAGTTGATTCGAAGTTGAACGGCATTTTTACGTTTGTTGAGATCCGCATGAATAAGTTCCTTAAAAAGTTACAAAATACATTTATTTATGAACATCCAATTCTAAATGTTTTTCCACATAATTATAAGTATTTAGTAACCTTACCTTATAATCAAGGCCATCACAGAAAAATCTATCACTGGAACTATTCATCACTAAAATTAAAAAAATATTAATAGTGTAATTATTTCTTTAAAATGATTTATTAGGTATATACACTCGGTACCATTTTTGCGTGGTCACATTTTAAAAATGCACCAAAATAAATGTATGCATATGAATAAATATATTATTTTTCCTTACCTATCACACTGATTCCTCTGCGAGATTCATATTCTTCTAATTTCCGGACCAAGTCACGTAAATCCTCCAAAACACATACCCATTACACACCCATTTGATTTCGAACGATTGAAAATAATTGTGGAGAAGGGAAATACCTGAGTTCGTAGGACGCAGGAATGGTTTTGGTACGACAAGGTGATGAACGCCACGTTTCCACGCACGAGGGAGGCGAGGAGTGGAAGCGAGGGCGTCGAACTGCTCACTTTCGACGAGGTAACCCCATTTCCGGTCGCAGGAGAGCCCCCCTTGGTTGACGACGTTGTTGTTGTTGTTGTGTGACCAGCACCAGCACTATTAGCACGGACACCATTGCTCAACTTTGTCGCCCCACCATTCATTTTGCCACCATTGGTTATCTTACCACTAACACTGGTACTGCTATTAGTGGATGTGGTTATTTTACCATTATTAATTTTATTACTATGTAAAAGACTGAGTGATTTTTTGATGATTTTTTTAGTTTTCTCGTTACTGTTTCTCGCATCCTTAACTCTATTAGTGCCAGTCACACTACTGCTGATGGGACTTGCCCCACTGTCAATAATGATGCCTCTTGTGGAGTTGGCGTTCTTCTTGATACTGGGCACCCTATTCCTCGTTACAATCCTCGTCAACTTTTTACTCTTTTGGATCACTTTGATTCCGCTGAGCAAATTCCTCGTCCCCTCGTCACTCAAGAGTCTGTCAATCTCACTTTTAATCATGCGACGTCGTTTAAACTCCATGTTGTTCTTTAATTGTTGTTGATGATGATGAGGTGAGATTTGCCCACTTAACTAACTGCCTCTAATTTTTGTACTTCCCGGTGATAACGAGTAGTCAGTGGCTGTGCATTAAAATCGATCGAGGAAAGTTAACCTGGATGAGATTTAGTGGGACGACAAGAAGAGAGATATATTGCTCTTGAGGAGCTACGTTATGTAGCCGTACATAGAGCAGTGCGGAGAGATTTGCCTCCAGAGAGAGACCATGCAAAAAATATTCGCAATATTCTATGTACATTATACACTCTGGCTCTCTTTTCGCATGGAGACTACTTGGCCCAGCACGCAAGTTGTTTGTGTGCTATAGACCTCTCTCTCTGGCTCCAGGAGTGGTGCTCACGTACTCGGGTTCGCGATGATGGTGGCAGCTCGCATTTTGGTAGCGTGCCTTTATTGTTATAAAACCAGAGCGTCGTACGTAGATGGTCGTGAATGTGAACAATTGTTGTTGGACCAGGCTGTTCGTTGGGCTGGTGGGTGTGCTTCGGGCTTGACTGGTTGCGAGAAGGAATGAACTTAAGCAAGGTCATATCACAGAACAAGATGACGTACAGCATCACATAGACAACTTTTATTTTTGGCATTCATGTTATGACGCATTGGTCCCCACATAGCAATACATAAGGACAAATTAACTATTGTTTTATTATTATTATTATTATTATATGAAGTAGTATACGTAGCAGACTAAAAGTATGTATGTAAGAAATGGTATTATTGTAGCAAGTTTAATAATCATAATAATAATTATCGTATGGCTTTGTTTTTTTTCAAAAATCTCCTTGTTTCGACTACGAATAAAATTAGCGCCCAGCTTCGGAATATGTTGAAGGACCTTCAATACTGCAAACTGAATCTTCAATGTCGTCGTGGGCGTAACCTCCTCGGAATCTTTGTGGTTGGGGTTGTTGCTGGTAATGTTGCTGTTGCTGCTGTTGACGTCGGAGTGCCTTTACAAAATTCAATTTTATACAATTTTAGTCCAATAATGCTCGCTCGCTTAAATTGTTACGGTGTAATGAAGAACAAAAGAATAATATTTTCTACTTGATGTGTGAATATGTATGCAGCGTTCAATCAAGTAATAATATTGTGATAATGGCGGCGATGCGATGCAAACGTATTTGTATAAGCTGAGGCTGATTTTGTTGAAAAATGTAAAAATCGGATAAATGATGCCGAAGGAGAAGGGGATACGTCATCGTTAATTTAATGACAAAGTTTAAAAGGGATAAAAAAGCAGCAGCAGCAGCGCTATAAACTATTGTGTTTTTTTCTCATTGTTATAAGATTACAAATCATTCTCAAAGGAAATGTTGTAGACTATAAAATTCCTATGAATGATTAATATATCGCACCTTGTCACGGCTGCCCTTTTTCTTGAGAGGGAAACGAGAATTATTGACTGTTTCACTCTAAGCAATTTTTTATAATAATTATTTAAAAAGGAAATGGAAGAGTCAAACCTGGAGGCTGAATCGTCGATGCGTTTGTTTCCGTCCACCCCGTCGACGTGAGATGTGGGGGTTGTCTAGTTTATAATTTATATAAAATGCACATGATTTAGATTCTATGTATGTTGGCCCTATAGCACATTTGGTCCGATTTTGATTAGATTTTGTTCCCGAACCACCCATCAGAAAATAAATAGCGAACCTTTAGGTTTTGGTTCTAACCTTTCCGCATGGTCTTGTTCCTCAAAAGCTCCAGTTGGGTATAGACTCGTTTCAACTCCAACTACAATTTGACAGTAAACATCAATTACTTAATAAGGCCAGACCATTAAAGTTGCAAAACTTACGCGAATATCCTGCGGGTGAAAGGTGGTTCACCAAACAATGTAAGGACAAGCAATTCTTTAGGACAATCCCAGAAAATCTAAATTTTTTATATGAATTTTTACCTGTGGGTCCATGTCGGCGATATTAATATCAGCAAAGTCGAGATCACCATTGTTGATGGCTGCTTCCAGAGCTTTTCGTCCAGCCCCGAGACCACTGGTTGTGGTATCACCTCGTCGCAGTTGACGTTTCCTTTTTTCTTCACGGATGTAATATAGCTATTCAAGTTATTAGTGTTATTTATTTATTTGTTCCTCGAGTTATGGTACTGCTTTTACATACCTTTGGGGCCACCACAAGGAATATTATGATTGTGGTGGTGATTTGACACTTGACGAAATGGAGCACCATCAAGAATATTTCATCCTCATCCACAAATATGAACCTACATTCTCGGATAACAATTCCAATGACGTTCGTTGTGGACTAGAAAAATGTTATAATTTGAGATTTAGCAATATTTTCGTAACTTTTTTTTAGCTGTATGTGTTTAACAAATTCGAGGAAGGGTTACATACTTCGAGAAGTAGTGCAGCAGTATAATAGCTTTTAAACGGAGACACAGGGGCACGACGCAGGTGCCACGCCATGTTGAGGCCAACGCATAGAAATAGCACCTCCCCTGCAAATAAATCCCATATAAAGCTTGTTCAAATTGAACTAAACATTGAATTTAATAAGACATGTGATAGCAATAAGTTACCAAATTCTGTAACCCGATGCCACCACGTGACAGGGCAGTAAAGATGGTCATGGAATTCTATACCACCATCTCCGGAATAGTACTTATTGGTGACAGTCCAGCTGGTCATGTAAAAGACGATAACCATCGTCATCGTCAACAAATACCTGAGAATATCTTTTTCTCTAACCACCCATCTGGAAAAAAATATTGTGCATCACCCCTCATTAAAAAATTATTTCAATACGGAATGTAATTAAGTAGCAGTACCGATGTGCTTTCCGAGTGCGAAACTCTACAAGAGATCTGTGGACATTGAATTATTCATGAATTGTATTTTCCAAAAGTGCTGAATGAATGATTTTTCTTGCCTGTAAATTTTAAGAAGAATTCCTCCATAGACAAGTGTGAAGCCAAGTTCTCTGGCCCATGGTTCAAGCAGACAAAGCAAAGCAGTATTTGATGGAATCTCAATTTTAAGTATGACAGAAATGTAGAGAAGTATTGATCCGAATAAAATTGACTCAGTTATTGGCCATCTAAAAAATTCGTAAAATGCAATAAAGCAAAGTAAATAATCATAGTGTTTATGCATCTTGTTTATGTACATACATGGCCCATTGTCCAACTTTAGTCTTCCTCAACCAGTAGACAACCAAACTGCATGGGAAAAATGCAATCAAATTATGCACTATGCATTTTTTTTACTTATTTGGCGTGATAAAATGTGAGTTTACCAGAGGAGGACGCAAATTACAATGCAAACAATTTGGATCTGAAAATATGCCAAATGTAAAAAATATACTATTGAGAAAGATACGCATGCTTTTAAAGTTATCTTATTCAGACCCATTCCAATATTTTTCGAAGCAACCACGTTTTATTGCATTCGTCCTCACATTCACAAATGTACCCAACATTGATGGACTCATCCTCGACACACTGTAGAAATAAAAAAATTGCAATATGAAATATTGTGGCATATTTATTTAGGCATATTTGAGGGTCACATGTGGTTGGGGTCAAATGTGGTGAGACAAAGAGGGGGGAGAAAGGGGGAGAAGATGGTGTTTAGAAGGCTAATTTGATCTACCTTTGTGTTGAGGGGACATAAATGACCAAAGGGACTGTGAAGAGGGTGCTGTCTTCTGCTGCATATTTTTGGTAAAATCTTGGTAGGGTAGGTTGGAAAAGTAAGATAAAGGTACTCTGGCTGCTCTTGATCATCATTGTTATTACTCCTATGGAGAAATTTACGATTATTAGTGCGAGTTAAATTTTGTTTGTTTGTTCAACGCAGAACTCATAATGCAGAATGAGACTAAGTAATAAATAGTAACAGGAAACAAGGTTTGTTTGAACAAAATGAGATTAAATATAGAGACAGAGAGAGAGAGAAAACAAGAGAAATCATATAGTACTGCATGATGAAGGTGAAACAGTTTTTGCAATAACTAACCTTTTGATGAGGACGTGGAAAATAGGTTGGTCGTTATTATTATTATTATTATTATTATTCGACGGGATTACTCTGTCCCAATGGATGGATTGTTGACTTTGGTGAGGATTATTATTATCGGACTGGTTAAAGTAGAAGAGTTGAGGAGGGTGCTGATACGGGTTGCTACTTATGCAGGGTGCAGGAAGTAAATTAGTTTGGCAGTGAGAGATGTCTAGTTTACTCTTGAGTATTTCACAAAGTTCACATTTCCTCTCCGACTCTGACAAAGTGGAGGAGGTAAAAAGTTGCTCAATAGTTTCCACACTACATTCCAAGTCTAAACCATTCACTAGTAAAAATACGGACAATAACACTGTCAATGAATTCGAATACATTCTGCCACTAATGCTGATTGTGTGGAGTCGTTAACCATCCAACCACCTCATCCCCCTTGTCAAAGATGGATGATGGTTTTGGTTTAAACTCTCTTTTTTTATTTTCATACATGCGTCAAACACTGAACAAATGCCAGACCACTCTTCACTCTTCTTGTCTATCTCACTCTGTGCAATGTTCCTTTCTCGGTGGTCTGCTCTTCTCCTGCTGCTGCTGCTGCTTCTGCTGTTGGTGGTTCTATAACAAAAAACGACTGGAAAATCGGACTCTGTCGCGACTCGTTCCTCTCCGCCGTGGTCCTCCTCCTCCTCCTCCTTCAAATACCCTGTTACATGAAAATACCCACACACTCGTACCACGACGACATGCTCTCACTCAGAGAGTCCGGTTGGTGAACACCTTACAAGGATCCAACCATATAAAACTGATCAGAATCTCCCAAAATTCTCTTTGATACTCACACACAGACATTCTTTGCATCCATCCAGCGCAGAAGAAGAGAAAGAGAGACTACTTTCTTCTCCTTTCTCCTCCACAGATTTGCCTATTAGAGGCAGTGTGGTGGTAGTGGTGGTGGTGGTGGTGGTGGTGGTGGTGGCGGTGTGGGGGAAGACAAGTCGTGTGTGTATGGGATCAAAGTCAGTCAGTGTGAGGTTTTAAGCTTTCTCTCTCATACACAGGTCTCCCTTGAGAGAAAATCTATATCTCCATCATCACTACCACACCACCACCACTTTCACCTACTTTCACCACCGGATGCTACCAGTTTGATTTCTTTCTCCTCGACAGGTCTCGGAAACTGTCACGTATTGGATTTTATTACCAATCTTTGAAGACAAGGGTAATCCAACCCTCTCTCAGGAAATCTCCCAGAGTTCCTGAATCTGAAAAGAGATGCCGAGCAAAGGATTGGAATGATGATGATGATGAAGCGATAAAACATTGTTTCTTCCTTGTTCGTCGAGTTGAAAGAGGAAAAGGAGGAGGACGAGAAGGAGGAAAGTGGGAATGGGCCATGTTCCGATGAGATGATACATATGAGATGATGATGGTGATGATGATGGTACTCCAAAAATAACCACCACTGACCCACTTTTACGACTAAAGTAACCAAGGACTACTGGATCAAAGAGTTTTTAATGGACGTTGAGGTGGTGGTGCTTGTACAACGTGAGACTATGCAATGGTTATACGTACATACTTATACGTACGTACCTAAATGTATACGTAAAGTGAAAGCATCGTCGTAAATGAAAAATGAAGTGTATAGCAATTTTTCTTTAACGATTGCATTTTATTTTATTAGTTAATTCACAACAGCAACAGCACTAGTTAAAGTTGATCTAATTCTATTCATAATAAATTTGTAACAGAGTAGCAATAATACTGTTGAGATAAAGAGAGGTCTCATTCCCTTCCTATCATAATTTATGTCGATTAGAATTAAGAGCTGTATGGCAACATGAGAGTTACAACAATTAAGGGTATAATAATTAGCGTTTTATGTCTGTATTTCAATCACGCTATTATAATAATTATAGAAGAAAGCCCTAAGGAAGCACCATACAATCAATCAACCATTTATCCTCTCATCTTCATCGTCAAACAACACAGCACTTCTTGTAGCACCACAATTATTCATCTTCACAAGCATACAGGTCACAATCAATTACGCTAATCACTAACCATGGTTTTGTTTTTTTAGGGTTTTTCTTGAGCGGGTTTCATAAGGGATGAGTGATTCCTTACTTAATATTCCTTCCATTTCCATTCACGAGTATATAGTGATCACCTGTTTCGAACGTTTCAAATTTGTATAAGGTTACATATAGCATAATTTGTAATGACTGCTTTTTTTGGGTCAGAAATTTCCATACCTCTCGTCCTCCACCTCTCACAAGTAGAGTTCTATCTAGGCCTTCGGTGAGCACCTCCAAAAATTCCATATCTAAAAAAAAAGAAAGCCAAGAGAAAGTCAAGCAGAATAATAACGTGAAAAACTCGGCTCAAATGAGCGAGCGAGTAAAGTCGAAATTGAGTGAAAGTGGCAGCACTCACAGTTGGCCTCATACTCGGGAGCTATAATTATAGAGTTTTTTATGCATAATTAGTGTGACATGATCAAATTTTTGACATAAATAATAAAATGCGACATGACTCACCAGTTGACTTTGGCGGAGATGGTAAATTTATGATGACCAATTTTGCATCATGGGACTTTGTGACGATAACTTCATTGAGTTTCACAGCAGTATGCATGCGCCTTACATTGTCCTCGTCTCTATAAATATATGCATACATACATACACGGCTGACGGCATGGATAGACAATAGGATTAGGCTCGAGTAATCTAATTCTGGCTGTTGGTCGTAAAACAATATCCCTGGTCGTCGTTTTTAAGAATTTTTGAGCAGTTGCTAAGAAATGGTGCATTATTTAGAGGAATAATTTACTGGAATTAGATCGCTTTCAACGTCAGTTTCTCGCCGGTAATTTTTTAGCCTGAGTCAGGGCTTAAGGAACCGTCATAATTTCCGTCCGTCCATCCGTCCCAAAACACGATAGAGCCAAAACGACTGAACCGATTGACTTGAAATTTTTACCATATGCATATTGGACAAAGTTAGGAAACGAGTTTGAAGATTGGCGAAATCGGTCAAGTGGTTGACCACTGGGGGTTATCGGAGTGGTCAGAGACTAAGTCCCTGGCTCGGGCTATATGGGGTCTGCACTGTAAATTATGTAAATTCAAGGAAATTATTCCTCTAAATTTTGCACCATTTCTTAGCAACTGCTCAAAAATTCTTAAAAATGACGACCAGGGATATTGTTTTACGACCAACAGCCAGAATTATTTTCCAGAAAATGGGGAAAAGTTGTAGAAACGAGGTCGAGAATTTGTCTTACGGTTTAATATCCAAGAGTTTTTTCATGTTATTCTTCGTGGGAGTAACTTTTTCTGGTGAATCTCGTTTATTTTCTTCCTCGCCCGCACCACCACCATCATCATCGTCGTCGTCGTCATCTGCCGCTCCGAGTCCTCCGTCCTCCTCAATCTCTGGAACATCTTCCATGTCTGTTTTATTTAGGAAAAAAAGAACAACTGAGCATTGTACGTAATGAGAAATTGAGCAAGCGAGAAGCGAAATGCGGAGCAAATTTCATTACCATTATTGCCAACATTGAATGTGACCCTGGCTTTGTTTTTCTCTTTGCTCGAGTCAGAACCACCTTCGTTATGGCCGTCGTTTATGGACTGCACTAGTGGCAATTTTTCTTCTAAACTTGGCTCAATTAGAGTCTCAACCTATAACCCAAGCAAGACAATTTTAATTACGGAAGCAAATACATACGTCCGTCTGGTTTTAGTCTGTGGCGGCGTTATTACCATTGATCTCCTACGCTTCTTGGTTAGATTTAGTTCTTTGAGCTAAAATAAATAAATAAATAAAACTGAGTTTTGTTGGACTCGTTGAGTTTTTATTCGTTAATTAATTGTACCATCTGGTTACGCTGTTCCATCAGCAATGTTCTTTCGTAAGTGTATGCCGAAATGTCGCTGTTCATCTGTGGACATAAAAAAGTACAGACTCTTGTTTTTATTTTATTTTTTGTCAAGCGAGGCATGTGAGCTTACCATTTCAACCACTTCAACCTCAGCGTCGATACGCAAGAGACCTTGTAACCTGTAATTTACACATTACATAATTTCGTGTTTGGCGTATTTGGTACCTTTCATTTCAAGAAACATGTGGGAGAAAGTACCTTTTGAGATCTTGCTTCATTTGGATCGAGTTGTCTTCAATTTGAGCTACGGTGAAGATGCGCATTTTGCATCCCTTCCAAGTGCGGTGTTGCTTGAGGAGGAAGGGCAGCAACATGAGCAAACCTGCCCACATAAATCCATCACATTTTTATGCTAATATCCATAAATCTAAAGCCTAACTTTTTTTTATTACCTCCGTCATGCACAATCCACCACACATCAATATTACCGGATACTCGATCCATTGAGTCAGGGAAAAATTGGGTTCCTATACATAGTTATCGGTTATATGTAAGTTGCTTAATTATTGAAGTTATTAATTAACCAAAAATTAATTATTACCTTTCGGAACTAAAAGTGCCATTTTAGCTGCAGCAACTATAAAAAACAATTATTTAACGTGAGCTTCTCTTGCATATAGTTTATCATAATAAATCAATTAACGTATAAAAACGTGCCTGTGCGAACCGCTCGGATGAAAATTCTCTCATCAGCTTTCTGACGCCAACCACTAGGCCATCCAATCATCACCTACGAACAATGCCACCCGATAAAATATATGGTCACCGAGATAATGGATATAACTATAGCAAGCTCTTCTAATGCCACCATTTCGACTATGCTTGATGGGAAGCTTAACAAACAAGAGAACTAACCGAGTTTGGTTTCAAGCCTCCCAAACCTGATGATTGGATTCTGTAGAAAGAGAAAGAAAGAAAGAACAAATTAATTATTTCGTGTTTGCCTGAATCCCGACAGAATTGAGGGCTTATGCTATCGCATCGTATTAAACCCTCAATTCTATATGTATCGTAATTTATATATCGTACAGGGAATTGATTCCAACAGAAACGTCTGAAATGATAAATATATCGAGTCATTCAGTATAGAATTCTTTCAGTCGCTGGCATTTTGAGCAAACAATTAGAGGATAACGCTACCTGGGCAGATGAGCACGTCCACGAATCCTTTAACTTTCTCATCATCCATGAGTTTACGCAGGGATTGCTTGGCTGCGGCGGCTTCACAAACATTTTTCTGATAGTCTCCTTCCAGAACACTGACTCCAATGGTGAGCCCTTTCCCCGCCTTAAGCTGGGATGCTAGACAAAACAATTTTCTCTGCTTCGGGCTCAAATCCTCATTCAGTTTGATAAGGATAAGGATTTGCGGACCTGTAAGAGTGGACTTTCACTTTAATAAAGTTTTTATCAACCCAGCAACTCATACAATTTGTGGTACTCACGCCAGTTCTTGGTGTGAGGTGGACCCTCCTACGGAATAGCAGCCAAAATAATATCGTCAATATTGTCTCAATGTAACCCAAAACTTGATTAAAAAGTTAATTAGGAATTATGTACCTCTAAGCGCAGTAGACTGAACCTGGCAGCCGATAAGGCTAAGCCACGAATGCCATCTGCATTCCAAAAAGTAGTCAGAGAATTAGTCAAACTCTAGGTTTAATTATTATTTGTTTATTTAGCTTACCTCCCCATTCCTTCTCAGCTCTGTTGAACAGTGGACGTGAACAAATTGAAATCGATATCTTTAGTAATTGATTTTCTATGCGTCAACGTCAAAAAAGACTTACCCTCTATACTCAATGTATTTGTAAAACATGGTGGCAATCCCCATTGCTATTAGGGCATAGGGAACGCTGGTCATGAACTGCGTCACAAACACAAAGGACAAATATATGTAATGCATGGATACGAATGACGCGTGATATTGTATGAATTGCATTGTACCATGACAGAGATGCATAGTGTGAGTCCGATGAAGCTTAAGACCCAGTGATAGTACTTGAATCGTGGTCTCCAATTTGGCGTTCGTAAAAGAGTTTGAACAGCGCAAGCCAAATTCACAAAACCATAGCACATCACTGTGAAAGAGCAGTAGCAATAAATCGTGAGACCAGTCACAATAGTCTCCTTTCGTGCCCACTCCACATAAATCCAATTCAAATATGTAACTTACAAAAGAACATGGACAGAAGAGGAGCCAAAACGTCAACGTTTCCTGTGCAAATTAATAAGTAATTTGTCACACGATTGATGGCATTCGATGATATATGCACCCTTATTTTTTAAGCTCAAGCACTTACCTAGCAGCACCCCACATTCACAGATACACATGGTGAGTATTAGGGCACGGGTTGGTTCACCCTAAATTAATCATTTTGCATGCATTATATTGTAGATAAGTCAATGTTGGTGAAAAGTTTAGACATTTACTCTTGCGCTGGAGACGCTGAAGGGCTGAAGCACAGGAATTATCCCATCTCTCGCAATAGCTTGAAGTAATCGGGGTGCACTGAGATTCAAATTATAAACCGTCAGATAAGTGCATGAGCCAAACTAAATACGATTGAAATTACCCAGTCATGCTCTGAAGTCCAGCTCCAATCGTAGATAAGAATGATCCGATGAGAATCACCCATTCATTAGGCCAAGCGATATTTGCCACAACCAATCGACCTCCTATACTTTGTCCAAACCTGACAAATTGATGAGAGTCAGACACCATGGATAGTCATTCATTAGCTTGAGAGAAAGTTCAGATAGATTTACTTGTCTCGTAGCAAGAGTCCATCCACCGTTCCACCAAAGAGAACCACACAGGACAAGTAGACGCAAGAAGTGGTCAATATTGCCCCAATTGTTCCAAGTGGAATAGACCTGTAGGATGCAAATACGTATAAATCTATGTAGTCATTTACTGGCTGTGGAGAATGTGAGATTAAAGTTGAAGGTGCGGTTGTGGTATCGACTTCATAAATTACAAAACGTGAACAATTAACCGCTCACCTCTGAGCATCCGCTAAATCTCCACTTCTATTTGATCCGGCCATAATTCCTGCAAGAAAGAGGTCGTCGTTTAAGAAACTTGGCAACTTTCCAATTTTGCGTGTGTACGTGTACGTACATATATATCCTTGATTTTGCATGTGTAGGTGTACCTATATCGATGCATATGTATACAAATATGTACCTGTGACTGAAGGGAAGAATATTCCGGCAAGAATTGTGAACGACGTTGTGATGTCAATGATGACTTGGTTATACACATTCGGAGTCGATGTTCCATTCACAATTCGAGTCGAAGGAGTCACATCATTCTCATCAAATGTCATTGACAAAATTTGGTCCTATATCATTTTTATTGTGCCAAAAAATTAGTTCTCTCACTTCAACCCAAAATAAATTCTTGCATAAAGACAATCATTTCTTTACCAATCTCATGAACGAAGGCCATAGATTTTCCATAATCACTCCGGACGATAGACCTCTGATTCCAGTGTAAACTTTGGCCTCGTGAGCTTCAAAGTATGGATCGCATGTTATTCCATCAATGTCAAATGGTTTGCAGAATGAGTTGTAAAGTTCCCCGCCCTTCTCTTTGGTACAGTTTCCACTCCCAGACTCTTGAAGGAGACGATTTCCGAGGACACACATTTTCAGCTTGTCATTACCGTTAAAGTTGACAATTAGCCCGATATAGATGGTCAAAATTGACCTAAAAGAGAGGAGGACAGTCGTATGATAATGATGACGCTAATCCTGGGATATTGTTCTAATTTCCAAAATTACGTACCCAATTACACAGGTCAGAGCTAATGCCGCAAATTTGTTGACAAACTTCACTCCAACGTATACAATTAGACCAATGAGTGCAAGGAGGACTGTCCCAAATACTCGGTAATTGTTGTACATGTTTTCTAATATTCGCAATAATTAATGGGTGGAATTATTTATTAAATTCATTCTAGTTACACAGGTATATAGAATTATGGGCAATTTGTACCTGGTATTGTCGTGTCTCCAAATATTGACAACGATGGAGCCATGTAGGTCTGAAATTTTTATTTTATGTTCCCGTGAGTTTCATATAACATTCTTCTATTAGTAATGACTAGAATTATCTATCAGTAAACTTACAATCAGAATTTCGATGGCACCAACAATGTACATGGCAGCAGCTATAAATTGATATTACTTTGGTTAGTATTTATTGTAATGCTACGTTACGAATCAATGAAATGAAGGGTTTGCAAAATAACTTACCAAGCGTGGTTCCTATGTAAAATAGAATCCCCACCGCTCCACCAAATTCGGGCCCGAGTGAACGAGAAATCATGAAGTAACTCCCCCCTGCAGGTACCACCTGAAAATAGTTTGCCAAACATGTTATATTGTGCAAATATTGAGTAACTTATGTATGTACTAACCCCGTTCGTGGCGATTGCACTCATTGACACGGCCGTTAGCATGGTCTAAATGGAATAAGTAAAAGCCAGTAAAAATTTGAAAATCCATACGAGCATCCAATAAAACTAAAATGTAAATCGTATTTTCTTACAATTGTGCACATCAACAGCACAATCTGCAATGAAATGAAAGTACAAACTTTTAATGAAATATTCAAACATTTTTAACTAAACAAAGTGATAAACCAAGTACTCACCAGAAATCCGCATATGATTCCAGATGTCCCGACAACCCAAGTTAAACGAATGAACAAAATCACGCCGAAAATATTTTGTATGCATGGTAAGTAGACACCCATGAGGGTGCCGAGATTAGCAGATTTTGCAGCCGGTGGGGCTGCGTCCCCTGCTTCCCCACCAGTATCCTCATTAACGGAAGCTGATGGGATCGTGTTTGAGTAATTTGCCAAAGAGTGCAACACATTTGGTAAAAGATGTTCGTGTCCCTCTTCCTGAAAAGGAAAATATTGGTGATCCATTTTTGAAACGGGTAGCAACTCGTGGAGTTAACTAGCATTAACTTTTAAATGGTATTTAAAAGCATTTAAAACTGAATAGCATTTGATCTCACCGAGTAGAGATACAAGTTTTTGGCATGTTTCCCCCCTCCTCTTCCTCCTCCAGCCTCCTCATCGGCAGAGCCATGATATTGTTCGCCCTCTGCAGCAGCGATATTGTTACCTGGAATTTTCATAACGGGTTTTACAACCTGGAGACCAGGGCGGATGAAAGTGATGAATGGAGTGCAAAGTGAGACGACGGTGTGGAAAAGTCATAAATACATACAGAGCGTGCATACCCATACCTTTCGACTGCTCCTGTTCTTGCTGACTGTCCATGTTGTTCATCTTGGTCACAGCGCCTTAGAATTAGATAACATGCTTAGAGACTACCACTCGACCATTACGTACGACTAGTTTAAAAATTAAAGAGGGCAGCGAGAGGGAGAGAGGAATCGAGGAGGAGGACAACTTTCACACGAATGAAACCAAGGGCTCCAGGCAAGTCCTATTTAGGGCGTATTTCGTTCCAATTGATTTCTGCGCAGGTTAAATTCCTGACTGTCTGTGTCCGGGATCGATTTTCTCAAAATTAAATGCAAGGCTCTCTCTTTCACTCTCTCAGAGCGTGTATGGCAAAAAGTATGCGAACGGAATGTAGGTCTCTCCTTTCTCGGAGGCTCTCGGATGACACACAGAGTCAAGACAGCAGCGGGGAGAAAAGCCTACCCGCATCGTCGCACGTACATACCTCACAAAGGCACACGGTCCAACCACCCTTGCTCCCAGACGTCGACCCACAACAACTTCCTGCTGCTTTCACTGAGCTGGATTTTACTGGATATTTCTGGATATTTCTGGATTTTACTGGTTTCCCCATGCACTACTGCTTCACTTTCCTCCGACAGCCCCACTTCCGTACCTCTCTCTGCATTCCATACATGCATTCCTTCCTTCCTCGGCTCTGTGGGCCACCAGTGCTAAACAGGATTCTCCACAAATTCGCATGAATATCGCTCATCTCTCCCTCGCATGAAATCATCTCTCCCTACTCTTCACGCTCGGGCTATATTTAATTTCCACATACACAGCTTCCTCTCGACACCATCTGTCTTAAATATATATGAGTCACAAGTCATCGTTTCACTCATCTCAAGTTTCATAACCAGTAACCAGCCACAAAAATACTAATAACGAGCAGTGCCACTTAGGACATTCTACTTTTCTGTGCAGTTTCCTTTAACATTGAGCTCCTGCATGACATATCGGGTCGGGTATTGGTATGACCTATATCGTTCGTTAGAGTACTAAAAAAGTGCCTGCTGCGCAAGTAGATTTGCACATCCGCAAATGTAGAAAACTAACCGACGAACATGCCAGGCAAGCATGGCAGGAGGAAAAATATTATGCGAGAGAGTTGACAGCAGCACCAGTCGATATGCAGAATATGGATCATAATCAACTTCATATGCATACGAATGTATGTATGTGCCTACATTTGTACGTATGTGTATGCATATGTATCGAGATATTTGTGTACACGTAATGTTTGACTCTTGTACATAGGTACATACGTATGTTTACCGAGTTATTGCGGTCCATCCGATTCCGACCTTCCTACTCACAATGCGATGGTGTGAAGTGTAACCCTCCGATTTGGCTGAAATTTAAAAATTAGGTGGTCCAAGCCAATACAACTAACGTTTCTTCAGGCAGTTTGTGCGAGTTACTCAAAATATTTGAGGTCAAAGTTCAAAAAACGGCCGACTTTTTTCAGGCGGAGTGAGAAAACTCCACTTCCATTCTCTTCCCCTCGCTTTGATTTTATTCAGGCGTCTCGCTCATGCATACGCCTTCATGCTCAAGCACAAGCTTTGATGCAAAATAATAAAAAATAAACATTATTAATTATAGCTTAAAGAGCAATTAATACGCATTATACATACTTAATTTAATTTATAATTAAATAAGTGAGATTTTTACTTATTTCTAGTACAAATTTACATAAAAGTTAATTTATAAATTCGCCAACGGCAAATAAACATGGAAAAACTTAACTTGCTTTCCATTTCGAAAGCGTTGGTTATTCTAATATCCAATTATATATTAATATTTTAAATGCTCCTGTGATTCGATATTGTTGGTACTCAAGCGGATCATGGGTGATGACGAAAAGCCCGAGTTTAAAAATGTAAGCGAAGTTTGTTTTAGAGAAAAAAATATTAGTTGCGACCTGAATTGTGGCAATCCCACATTCATCAAATTCAGCTGGTGCAGTTTATCGTATTGTTTTGTGGACTTTTATGAAAATAATCATATAGTCACATGTGGAATGAATAATTAATATTTTTCTATAAAAAATTAAATTTAAAATTGTTGAAATGAATTATTTTTCGGAGTGAAAATCAAAGCGAGGGGAAGAGAATGGAAGTGGAGTTTTCTCACTCCGCCTGAAAAAAGTCGGCCGTTTTTTGAACTTTGACCTCAAATATTTTGAGTAACTCTCACCATCGCACAAACTGCCTGAAGAAACGTTAGTTGTATTGGCTTGGACCACCTAATTTTAAAATTTCAGCCAAATCGGAGGGTTACACTTCACACCATCGCATTGTCAGTCCCACTTTTAATTAACTGATGTTACACCAGTAATTACGAAGGTCAATGACATAAATGGTCGTGTTTCATGTCCCATTCATAAATTGGTTTACGCATGTGTCGTGACTGAATATGTTGGACTAGTTTTTTTTTGAGGGACAATAATCCGAACCTACGCCAACACTATCATACGCCATTAGTAATGATTTCTTTATTTTTACTTTCTCCCTTCCGACGGGGAGTATCAAGAACATGCAATACTTGATAACACGCAACTGACTCGTTTTTTAGGCACATGCCACATATGTAAAGTACATGACATCAAATGTGTAAAACACGACATGGCAAGGTCATGGATTCCTAGCTGGCTAGCCAACCGACTGCCTTCCCCAAACATAAATAAATATGATAACGTTACGATAAATATTATTAATCACGACTGTTGCTTATTACCTCTCGAAATTGCACGCTTGGACGTACTCGGTGTTGGAGTTGGTGTGGTGTTGTTGTCATCAACCTGGAATGAGACAAAGGAATCTTCTCTGCTCGCGAGAAGGGTGACAACTTTTTGCTGGTCAGGACAAAGGGTGGATGTTGACGAGAGAAATGACTGATTCGAGTTTAAACTCTGTTTATTGAGATCACTGAGATTCAAGGATCGTTCTAAAGAGATAAGGTCCGTGCAATCCCAAAAAGCTTCCGATGCACTGTGCGGTGTCGTACCAGCGGTGCTGAGATAGTACGAATTGTTTGAAGAAACGCTTAAATATTTGAGATTAATACTGTCACTTCCATTCCCCTCTAGGCCACCAATACTACCACCACCACCCTCCGTCATGCTCCAGACACATTTTCAGGTCTTCCTCCCCTGCCCCCAATCGACCACGGAAACCCCACACGGGATACAACGACAGCGTCTAAATCCTGCCCCACCCCCACTTTGCCAGCTTGTGGGTGGTGGAACCGCCGGTCAAATGACTCCAGTAACCTCCGCAATTAATTATGCGGAGAGAGGAGGATAAAAACTAGGCCAAACTGGGGATGGGTATGTGACTGAGAGAGAAGAAAAACTTTCTCTCCACACACACGCTCACCAGCTCTCTCTCGGCAGCAGCAGCAGCAGGGGAAAGGGAGAGAAAGTTCAACGCACCAAGTCTGTAGGGGAAGTATGCATGCAAGCAGGAAAGCATATTATCCGACTTACCTACATCCATACGCTCTCAGAGAGATTGACGAGGGGAAAATCAAGCTCGAGACACCTACCGTTTGCGAGAGAGAGAAAAAGTCGTATGAAAATGAAAATGCACACTTCTGATTTAAAAATTGTACAAATTTATTTAACAAAATATTTAGTTCATATGTTATAACAGGCTGTTTGGTGCGTTCAATACTTCAATTTATCGAGTCCTTTAATGACCCCATCCGTGATTATCTGGAGGCTGTATAATTGCAAAATAGAATATAATTCAGTCAATGATTATCAAAATTTGTGTGTAGCATTAAAACCAGGTGAAACTCTGTAATTTAAATTTTGTTAATGTCTCACCTGTCGGACCCAGTAACCTAGTTTTTTAAAAATAAAATCAACAATTTATTTCCATTTAGCATTTACAATTTAAAACAATTTGAGTTACCGTATGGAGCGAATCCTTCCCATCCCCAACCATGACCTCCCTTTGTTTGGCCTCTGTAGACTTTGATTTGTACGCGACCGCCGTGACCGTGACCACCACCGTGTTGGGCTGTAAATTGAATTTATTGAAAAATTGTTAGTAATATTTTATGCCACCAAAGGAATGGACAACAAAACGATGCACATACTGGCAGACGGCATGTTGTCCACTTCTACTTCTCCATAGTTGTGGTTGGGATGTCTCCGATGCTGGCTTTGTCTCTGAGGATGTGCGAAGACAACAATGATGGTCACGGCTAATGCCACGCACACCGTGGAAAGAAACTTGGTAGACAGCTCCATTGTCGCTGTGTTGTCTCAATTGTGGGAAACAGTGCAAGAATGAAATGAAGTGAATAAAATTGCAAGTCTTTTATACATCCATCTAGTCTCACGCTAAATGTGTTGTGCTGTGTATGTGCAGGTGAGTTTACGTACGTAGCAAGTTTATTACTATTTGGCAGAGTACAAGCTAACTGGGGTGTGAACTCGCCTTGATCGTATGCACATATAAACAATATGCACTTTCTACATAAAACCCAGTCTGACAGAGCGTGAAGTGAAGAAGAACATGCGAAAATTAGTAAACTCATTGTTAAATGTTTATTTATTTTTGGAGATTTTTTGATATTTCAAATAATGAATATATTTTATAAAATGACGTAAATCATCATTATGATAAGATGATTTTTTTAAACGATAAAGAATATGTTTTTAAATTATTCAACCGATCCATATTTCGAAGTAAAGTCTTGAAGATTGGATTCTGCCAGTTTTGATTTCCTCTTCTCCAAATAATTTGCATAGTATTCCTACCACAAGAAAGGAAGGAAAAAATAGTTTCATCATCAATTTCATCACTCAACCAACAAGAAAAAAAGACTTACTTTAATTTTGGTAGTATCAAAAACGGCAGCTTCTCTTTTTTTCTGAAGTGAACTACTAAGTTGGAACCAACGATGCTCAAAGCACTATGGAAAAATATACTGTATACTATACTATACTATACTATACTATACTTTATACTATACCTCATCTGCCGTGGGTCGTTTGCTGAAAAGTGATGAGATCCATTTAAGATTGATTTCATGTAAAGGAGATGAAAGTGATAATGATTTTGTGGTTAAAGAGTGCACAAAGAGAGAGTTTTATCTTACAGTGGACTTCGTTTAAAGATGAGCATTAACAGACGTGTTGCCTCTTGACTGACGTTTTTGTGCAAATGTTCAAATCGAAATCTGACATACGTAATGTTTTGTTTTGTATCCTAAAAAAAGAAATGCTGTAAATAACAATGTGTTCATGCTCCTATTTACCACAGAAAAATACAGTAGGCAATGGCATTAATCAATATTTAATTGATTCATTGGTTAACCGACAGATTGGTTGAATTGACAGGGAGGGAACATGCGTGTGACGCGAAGATGTCAATCTGTCGTGATTCCTTTGGAGGACGCATGACGTCAAAGGGCATGTGTTCCGTTCCGCAAATACCGAATAAAGTGGAAAATCGAGGGAGACGGGGAAAGGAATGACAGTAAGGATTCATAAGCAGGCAAGAAATAAAAAAAGCTTGCCTCATCTGTCTCGCCTAAGAATGGACTCACTCCGCTAAGCATTATGTAAACTAGCAGACCAACATTCCACGTATCCGTTTGGTGCATAACTTGAGATTCTCCATTTAACACTTCAGGAGCTGGAAATGTATGAATTCATTAATCGGTAATAAGAAAAGTTTGTGATCAACTTTGTGTTATAAATAGCTTGTCTTTTAGTTTATCCTAAATTTGCTATTATGTTTCCTCACGTGTAAATTCCAGTTCGGTTAAGCAGTCTACTCTACTTCCAATTTTAAGGACTGGTTGTGCTGCTGAAAAGTCGACTAGTTTAATTTTCTGGTTTTTGGTGACGAGGACATTTCCTGGCTCCAGATTGAGCAGAGCCAAGCCTTGCCAATGCAAATACTGAAGACCATCAAGAATCTAAACGAGGGGGCAGGAGAAGAGGCCGTCATGTTATTTAAGCAGAAATCTGCGCATAAATTTTCATTAATGAAAAGATTATAATGTTTTCATACTTGAGAGACAAGGTTCATGAGGAGCTGCTCCGAGTACGAGTCGAGGGAAGACACGTAATGAAGTAGATTGGAAGAGGAATCGAAATTAAGGGAATTATCTTCCAAGAGAACACTATTTCCGATCTGAGTCGCTTGGTGAATATTAAATAAATTTGTGTGGGCAAGTATCTTCGAAGTCTTGAACTCGAGTTCTGTTGCCACTTTGAGTAGTCGTGAATTTTCTACTAATATCACAGAGCCGAATTTTCCATGAGTGAGTAGCTGAGAGGGAGACGTGACCTTTATTTCATCCGTGGAAAGATTCACTGGAGATGATTCGACTTCATAATTTATCGTTTCAGGTACGGGGTCTCCTTGGGGCTCGTCTGATAACCTTAAGCGGAATCGCGAAATCAATTGACCAGACTTATTCCTTGCTACGATTTTATAGTTGGTTAGGTCCGTCTCTCGAATTTCCTTAAATCGTAGAGTCGAACAACCATTTTCCTCTTCAATCTCTCGGTTATCTCCAGGTGCGAGGACCATCATGTCGTTCCTAACCACAGATAGCAACTAGTTAATAAATTTAAAAAATCCATAATATTTCGCCAGTCTTTCTTTAAAATCCATCTTTAATCCATCCATCGCCATCTTTAAAATTTTTAGCATTTCGTAATTTTTGTGCAAATTTTAACCTTTTGCTAATTTTTGTGCCGATTTTTGTGCCAATTTCTATGCCAATTTTAGCATTTTGCCAATTTCTATGCCAATTTTTGTGCAAATTTTAACCTTTTGCTAATTTTTGTGCCGATTTTTGTGCCAATTTCTATGCCAATTTTAGCATTTTGCCAATTTCTATGCCAATTTTTGTGCCAATTTTAGCATTTCGCCAATTTCTATGCCAATTTTGGCATTTCAAATTTTCTTACAGAAATATTAGCTTACTTGAACCATTGAATTCCAGGAGCAGGATCTCCTGCAGCCACGGCCTTAATTGTGATTTCCTGTCCCAAACGCACGCTGACTTGAATATTTGGTTTTTCTCTGAACACGGGCTCTTTTCCGTCAATTTTCATTGATCGCAAGGCATCCGCTTCAGCCTGAAATTCTAAACGATTTCCAATTTCGTGACGCAACCTTCGATTGTTTGCATTGTTCCATGGACCATTATCCGAAATTCGATTCTTTTTCTCATCGTCCACCTCTTCGTCGTTAATGTCACAAAATTTACGCCTCTCTCGGACGACCGGTATCTACGCGAGTTGAAATTACAGTGCTTATTTATACTGGATTAATTATTTGCGACAGGAGTAAATAACGTACGTTTCGGTCGCAGTAGTTGTTATACACTTGAAATTGAAATGATGGACTGTGTGAAGCAGCAACTTTCATGTATTGACGCAGCCTCGCCGGAAAGTCGGTATCACGAAGCTTCAATTTAAACATATTCATAAGGCGTATGCGTATGAACGCAATTTATTTATGCACAGCAATAATTTTCTATGCTTACCTGTAACAAATACGTTTCATCTCCAGATTGATAGCTGAAATAGTTTTGTAATTATAAAACCATCAACAATGCAAAGGCAGCGTATACGAAAGACCGGCTTAATTAATTAGGAACCTACTGTGATTCGCTGGTGAATTCATCAATTTCAGGTCTCGGATATCCATTGAGTTTTAACTGGTCAATAACTGGCAAAGGTAATTTGAAGTCATCATCGTCGTTATAATTTGGTGGATACACCATCCTCGAAGGATCAGTATAAGCAGTCTCCAATGGATTTCTTCTAAATATTGTTCTGCATGACGCGTTATCATTCCAAGCTCTAGTGAACACACAAACATTCCGATTAAGCTTATGCTTAAAGTGTGTAGTGCTACGTTAAACCATATGTTATATCTTTATCTATGTACTTTAGTTTATAATAGTAACTAGAGTGTTCATCACGAAGAATATTGGGAAGATGGGTGTGTTCCTTGTGAATCTTGTGAAACCAAGGATGGGCCAAAGCCTTTTCAATGTCCATTCTTTCCTTAAACTCGTACATCAAAAGCCGTTTAATAAAATCTTGGGCTGTATCCGAAATGAGTGCAAATCTATCACCGAAACTCCAAGACCCATTCTAAAACAAAATACAGAATGCAATATTTCGTCAGAATGCCTCATCTTGTTTGGGGGGAGAATTTCAAAGAATGTAATCCAATTAAAAAGATATATAAATATATGCACAGATGGCTTACTAACTTTAACGTTTTCCAAAGTTTCTCTGTCATTTAAACCCAAGAAAGGACTATGTCCTGAGAGCAACACGTACGTGATAATACCAACTGCCCACATGTCACTCCAAGGCTGTAATTATAATTGTGATGAATATTTACCATAATAATTTTTGATTTATATGCAGCTAAATTTTAAAAATCCAACTTACCCCAACATATTTTTCGCCCCTCACAATTTCGGGTGCAACATATTCTGGATGACCATATTCTAAAGATCTATTAAAGTATTTCCTCGACAGGCTAAAATCAATTATTCGCAATGTGCTACTATTGATATGAGTCAAAAGTAGATCCAGAGGCTGTAAATATCATGCACATATGGATGTACATATTTGATAGATGGGTTTGAGTATTAAGATTTTCTTAAACTCACTGTTAAACTGAGATGTGCCATGTGATTTTGAACATGAAGATATTCAAGACCTTCTAGAAGTTGTCGGATAAAATAACAAATATCATATTCAGTAAAAGTGTCTCTGGAAATCAATCCGTGAAGAATATCGCCCCCGGTACATCTAATAGCAAATGGCACAAATTAATGCAATTTTCCATTTTGGATAATTATAAAATATTGCGTATTTACATGTCAGAGATTAAAATATAAGTATCGTCATGATAAAAAGCATCATGTAATCGGCTAATATAGCGATGATTAAGACCATTCCAGATATTGTACTCATTTTCCACCCACTCTTTTCTTCTTGGATCATATCTTGTGATCATAGTTTTGCTGGCATAACTTCCACCTGAAAATTTAGTTAATTTTACTTTAATTTCTTCTATAAATAATCTAAACGTGAAAAAATAATGAGAAATTAAAAATTATTACCACTAGAACGTTCAACAACGTGATGATGAATTGCCTGTGTTCCTCTTCCAATTTCATCACCAAAATCATAATAATTTCTAACATTGATATTTCGAAATCTGATATCTTTCCCCTTCAAATTGCTCAAAAAGTAATAATCCGACTCTGATTCTTCTACATGAATCATGGCAGAGCTGTGAATGCTTCCAGCAACATTCGTCGCAACAATGCTGTAAAGTCCCTCATCTCGCGTCATGGCCTCTTCAATGGAAACAAAGACATCGATCGTATTAGGGTCAACATCCACCGTCAGAAGTCTGACACGCGTTTCTGACGTGAGGGGAAGTAGGTGCCAATCTTTGTAAATTTTTATATCGGGAACTGGAATGCCGTATATTCTTGCGGATATTTTTACATTCCTTCGACTCATGGCATACACTTCTTGTGGTCTGGAAATGAATCTTGGATGGTGGGCTCGACGAAGACACACTTTTTGTGTTGCAATCCCAATTGGATTTTTAGCCTCACATTCCCATTCACCTTCAAGATCATCCGTCATTCTTAATAAGTTAATAGGGATTTTTTAAACATACAGCTTGCACCTATGTTTAGCATGCTATTTTTTTAAAAGAGCGACAACGAACCTGTTAATAAATAGTGTGATAAGCCCATTGTCTAAATATGTGTGTTCAGGATGGAATTCTTTTCCATCCTTGTAAAACTTGAGGGTAGGCCGAGGAAATCCATAAACTGCAAAGTGAACACTGGAAGGATGACCAAGCTCTGCATATTGGTAGTCTTGGTCTTTGTTTAAAAATCTTGGAGCGTGTGTGTATCCCTCGTGTGGTGGACGAGTGAGATCATACGCACGCGGAATGCTGGGAACTAGCATTGGTTTCCATTGTGGGGGACGGGTGTCGAATTTGTTTCTCATCGTAATTGCGTATGGGCTTGGATCGCTGACATGATTCTGACCCCATTCGACCCTGATTCGATATTTATAGTCAAGGTTAGGGTTTGGGAATTCAATATCGCAATAATTGTTCTTGAGGCCTTTGTAAAGAGTGCTCCAATCGTCAGGTTGGTTAACTGGACACATTTCTACCAAATATGTGCATGGTACTCGTGAAACATGAGGAAGACATGGGTCCCATTTCAGCGTCATACGTTTCGGTGTCATATTTGTAATCAATGGACGATTAGGAATTGCTGTTGGTCTTGTATCTTCATATCCAGAGTAAAGATCGCCAAGTTTTTGCTTGTTGAAATCAGAAAGGCTGTCAAACTTCAAATACGCCGAGCATTCCGCATCTCCATGCTCATTCCAGATTTTGAGAGTGTAGTCGGCCAAATCTCCAATATCAACGTCTTTAATAATCAATCTGAGTAGCCCTGCTCCTGCTCCATCTCGTTCAAATTTTATCCGATCTGATTCATAAAGTTTACTTGTTCCCCGATAAAATTCAAACTCTGGATTTGGAAAGCCTCCCACGCTATTCAATTTACAACGAGACATTTTATTTATAATTTATTGATGATTTGAAATATTAATATTGATTGTACCATGCCGTGAACTTTGCAAGCATGCCAGGATAAACTTCGGTATTTCCAATTGTTTTGAGAAAGTATGGAATTTCTCCTCGTGGTTTATGAGATCTAGTAAAAATAATTCAGTTCAATCATCATGCAATTCAACACTTTTTAATATAATGATACGAGTTTAATCACTCACATTTCTTTAACAACGTCTAATTTCGCCTTGCACTCTGCAGTTCCTTGATTATTGGTCAACCGACACGTGTACACCCTAGTATAAAATGTCCAATGAACATGAGTACATATGCCTTAATAGTTCATCATGATACATTTTAAGTATATATTATGCTAAATATCTCACCCTTTATCACTTTCTCCACAATCTTTAACATAGAGCTGAACTAAATCGCCCTCTTGTTTAATCTTGTACTTTTCTCCTGGGAATCTGTTCAAATAATTTCATCATGGTTAATTCAAGCCTTTCAGAACTTTGCAATAGTCTGTCCATACATTTCGGTTCCATTTTTGAAAAATTGTGCGGTAGGCGTCGGTATGCCACTGATTCGAGCACCAAATTTGCAATCACATGTCGGTATCTAAATCCAAGTTTAACTTGCAATAATAATCCAATAATTACTAACAGTTAATTGAAAACAATAACCTGTTCCTGATCTGTAAACTTTTGAACAAAGCTTGGAGGTCGATAAACCTTGTTGATTGTGACATTGGACGCTGATTCTGCTTTGCCTTCGTCATTCTCCAAAATGCACTTGTACACTCCTTGGTGCTCCCTTTCAGCAACAGGCACTCTCAAAATAGCCTTTTCTCCATCGAATGTCTGCGGAAATTTTGCAGGATCCAGCGGCGATCCATTAAATGCCCATCGAATTGTAGGCATAGGATTTCCTAGTTGATTATTATTAAATTATTAGTCCGACGCTAGGGTTATAGCCAGTTATTTATAAGCAGGGTAATTAAGATTATATGAAAATATGAAATATGTATGACGACTTGCACGTACCATCCACTTTTGCCATGAGAAGTAATTCATTTCCTTCATCAACAGTTTTGTCGCAAAGTTCGGTTCTACAGAAAAAGTAAATTTTTTATGTAATACTAATTAACTAATACTAATTATCATTCTGAGTCGATCTATGCCTATGCAATAAAAGACCAATTCTTCCATAAAATTATACATATTTTCATTGTTTATTTCTTAATTACATAAGATTTAACTTTTATTTAGTAGGGTTGACGGAGAAGCAATAAATTTTTAATCAGTATAGAAAATTAACAATAATGTAGTAAATAATGTAGGTTTTAACATAAACTTTCAAGCGGCCCCCAGTTGATGGATTCAACTAAAATTTCCCAAGGAACTTCTATCTCCAAATCTCGTCCAGTAATCCACCCAAAGTATGCCTCCAACATTTCCTTGTGACGTGGTTCCCAATCCGACAAATTCTCAAACTTCTTGAATCCAATCTGAATATTAACTCCGTCAACGTTTCCGTTCAACATTTTTGCAAGAATTATTGCCATTTGCAAAACTCTTTCTCCCATTTCCGTCTCTGACTTGACCTCTTCAGGGGTTCCATCAATTTTCTGGAAAACTGGGATTCCTCGTTCGTCAACAGGGTGTTGTGTTGAAATGAAAGACGTCAAAGGGGGTAGTTGACTGCTAGATTGTTGAACTTTTCCTCCATACAAATTTCCAGGTGATCCGAATTTAAGGTAATTCCACATGTCATTTATGTTACGCCTCAAATCAGAAATTCTGAGAAATGGAGATTCTTCTTGTTGGCCAAGTTGAGAGGGTCCACCCATGCTGATTTCCATTCCAACGCTGTTGAGCATTTGCCGGACGACATCCCAATCTGTTTCCGTACAGAATATTGCATCTTTGATAAAAGCTCGGACTTTGGTCATCTCATCTTTCTCTCGTTCCGCGTTGTTCATGGCGCAGGCGATGGCGAAAAAGGAACGGAGCGTGTGCTCAAAACGAGTTGACTTGTTCAACTCCACCACCCATTTCTTGACTTGTGACCATTTACAAGGTGTTCCTGCTGCAGCCCTGTCATCAACATAATTCGCCTCTGCCAACCAGTAAGTTTTCCACATAAAGGGAGTCAAATTTTTCAACGAAAATTGATGTTGAGGGGTGTGCTTTACTGTCGAGATGAGAGCGAACGTCGGGAGTGGATTATTGATGTCCATCAGTATAAAATGGGTGATCCTGGTCTGATTTCTATCCTGGTGTCGAACTTGTCTTGACTTTGGTGGTGGTGGAGGAGATGCTGGCCGTTTCCTCCAAGAGAATCTCTCCTTAACTATAAAATTGGCAGATAATTATTATTTTTTGTTTATTTATACTTTAGTACTTTTCATACTTACCTTCCTTCACACTATCCTTATTCACTTCCAAAAAATCCATCAAAAGATTTTCCGGTACAGCGTAAACTTTGCCGTCAGACATTTCCACCCTCACTTCCTTAAAAGGTACCGACATCGCCAGAAATTTTAAAATTGTAAGGAACGAGTAAGTGAAGTTCAAACTTGAGTTCACCCGATCAATTCCGATTCATTTTATAACCCATTTCTTTTTAGTAGCAGTGAAAATTGTGGTCATAACGATATTTATTTTAGATTTTATTTTAATAAAGCCTTTAGCTTGATGCATAAATAGATGCTTAGATTTTAGATAAATGCAATATTGAGTGGTTCAGGAAATAGTGCAATCAGTCAAGTAAAAAATTGAAAAATACTTATACCTAAACTTTGGTTCATAAGTTGGTCCTTCTTTCACTCTAGGGACAACTTCAAGTTTCCCTTCAGAAGCAACTTGGCCACTTGCATTTTTTGCAGTCAATTTATAGACGCCCGCATCTGAAAAATTTGCATATTTATTTTAATTTATTGGGTAGATTAACTAATTAAGTTTATTTTTATTAATAAATTCCACTTACCACTTGGTTTTGCACTAGGTTTACCGTATTCAAAGTGCTTTTTATCCTTGTCGTATTTGATGTCTTTTAGCTCATCTCCATCTTTCTCCAGACTGAGTTCGGGGGGTGGATAGCCTTTTAGCGTAGCAGAGAAAGTAAAGGGCAACCCTTCAACAACTTTCTGGGGTCCCAAAGGTGGTTCTATGCCTGGGCGTTGTGGAGGCTCTGCATACCGTTATAAAAATGTATTTCACTTGTAATGAGAATGTAAACGGACAATTGTGACGTGTATGTATATATTGCTTACCATGGACATTAATTGGTTCAGTGTCAACCTTTTTTACTCCGGCCTCGTTCTCCAGTTGGATTGTGTACACCCCTTGGTCTTCTGCTTGCACATTGTCCACTGTCAAAACGACTGTGCCGTCCGGATTAACTTTCCACAGATGAGGTTGCATTGGCTTTCCGTTATGAAGGAATGTCACTGTGGGCATTGGCTCTCCATCAATTTTAGTTTTAATCTGGAGCCTTTCCTTCTTGTTGATGTCCTTTGGATATTCCAATGGGTCGACGAGAAGTGGAGCTCGAGGAGTCGCTAAAATTGTTACACAATCAACCTTTATTTTTGCAATTAAAATTAAACAAGTATGTAAAAGTGGGAATTTACGTTTAACCCCAACATTGGTGCTGGATTCACAAGTTCCATTTGGATTTTTGAGAGTTACAGTGTAACGTCCTTTGTCTTTAGGATCAACTTTCTTCACTCTTAGGGTGCTCTTTCCATCTTCATTGGTAATGCTGACTCTGGGGTCACTTGCGGGATCGAGTGGGATACTATTAAGAAGGGAGAAGGGAAAGCGTATAATTATTTTGAGCATTATAATGGTCCACCTAACCATTGTTCTCACTCACCCGTCCTTCATCCAGACGACGGTTGGCAACGGGGAACCGTCCACGTCAACGCTTAGCACGAGATCGTCTAACTCGTTCTTGACGTATGAAGGCTCGAGACCCTTTGTAAATGAAGGCTTAGTTTGCAGCATTTTAATCGAACCAGCGGTTGACGCAGATCCAGCAACATTGACAGCTTCGACGTTGTACTAAAAAAACAGCCACTTTGTTATCCACACTTCACTTCAAATTAAAAACATCTAATTAGACCCAAACTTCTCACCTGTCCAACATTGGCTGCAGAAAATACAGGAATGATAAGTTCATTTGTGCTCTGTTGAGGAATCGGTTCTCCGTTTTTAGACCACGTAAGTTTAGGAGGTGGCGATCCGTCGACCTCGATTTTGATTCGAACATCTTTCTGGCCATCTTTGAAAAATATTTCCTTTTCCAGAGGCTTTTTGATTACGGGTGGCATTACTAATAGCAAAATTAATCATCTTTAATAATAAAATTAACGTTCTTTTAATAATATTTTTCATACAGTTGACTTGTATAAGCTCCGATCTCGTTTCAGTTTCTCCGTGCTTATTGGTTGCTGTCACAGTTAATTTTTGGCATCCGTTTGTAGGAACAAAAACTATCTTTGATGCGACACTATTTTCATTTTTATTGTAAACTTCGCTAGACTGTAGTTTAATGTCCGAATCCATGGTCCATGTAATTTTGACGTTTTCTTCGCAAAAGTCTTGGACCATGACATCAATTTCCATTTTTTCAGATACGATAACTTCCAACTGTTCCGGGAGTCCTTTCTTGAAAATTGGCTTTCCTGCAGTGAGTAATTTTTCATGAAAATTATTCTAGTGGTAAGATTTTTACGTTATTCTTCACAACGATGCAAACGCTAACCTTCAACAATAATGGTCGTCTTGCTCCAAACCTCCCCAACTTCGTTTTCAGCTTTAAAGCTCCACTCTCCAGCATCCTCGTACTTGATTACATTGAACGTTAAACTGTACGTTTCGCTCGATTTTTTTGCAATTTTTATTCGTGCATCAGCATTAACTTCTTTCCCATTGTGATACCTTAATTTCGAAAATGGCTACGATTAGTAATTGTGATCATCTTGAGCAGTTTTATATAAAAAAAGTAACCCACCAAGTTCCTTTCGGTTCTGGGAACGTTGCACCGTCAACTTCAACATTAAGCTCTTGATTTTTTGAACTCTCGACCAAACGATATTTTGCATCGAGTCCTTTCTTCAGTTTTGGTTTTGCTAAAAAATTAATATAATTAATATTCTTAAGAGTTTTGACGGTTTCAATGAAAAGGTTACTTAGCACAAGTTTTGTTAAAAAGCGCATGTTCTGTACAGATTAGAAATAATTTACTTGACAAGGTTATCCCATTTTAATTATGCAGCTAATGACGTGACAAATTGTTAGATTATAGCACACATGAAAAAAGTAATATTGTGAAGGAATTACATTTAATTGTGATTGATGCGGAACATTCGTCTTTCCCCAATTCATTTTCGACTTGAACTTGCACATTCAGTTTATTACTGTCATCCTTTCGTTCGATACTCTTAATTTTGAGGCTGTACTCATCCCCAGATTCTGATTGCTCATATTTTTTGCCAGATATCGCGAGGCCATCAATGAACCAGTTTAATTTACTTGGTTTAGGGTACGAGTCGACCTTGACTTTCAACGTCACGTCCTCGCCCTCTTTTGCCTCAATGTTTTGCAACTTTGACACAATTTGCGCACTTCTTCTTACATACACTTGACATTCGCAGGAGTCAGTGCCAAAATCGTTCTGAAAATCGAGTCAAATCTGCATTAGTAATAATAATCAAGCAGAAAGTGCCCACTCAGTGATAATTTTCACCTTGGCTTCGGCCTTCACTTTTATATTTTGTCTCTCCGTGCAGTCAAAGTTTACGCGATATTCTCCTCCACCCAAGCTATCGACCTTTAATTGTTTTCCCGCTGATGATGAACTGTTGAACATTGATAATTTGTTTTATAATAAAATATAACTCAAATTCAATACACAATTCATACCACGTGACAGTGGGTTCAGGGACGCCTTGGACGGAGAAATTGAGTTGATTTCCCTTGGTTCCAAGGTCCGTAGTGTATTCGGTTGGCAATTTTCGGATAATTTTTGCTGGCTGTTGTGCCACGAGTTTCCAAAATTCGCTTCAGACATTAAAATGACATTATAGAATATCTATATTTGTTTCCAGATTCTAACAATATTTTCTGAAAATTACTTACCTCATTTGACCAATAGCGTTCGATGCAACAACCGAATATGACCCACTAATTAAAGGTAAAATGCCATAATGAATGCATGCGATTTATAGTGCAATAGTTGTAAATTATTTGACAATCATCTACCTGTCCTCCAAAGTAATTCGTTCGATTGTAATTTGAAATCTTCCATCCTCGAGTTCGGTAAATTTGATTCTTTCTGATGCAATAATTAGCTGACCATCCTTGTACCATTTGACTTCCTGTAAAAATTACAATTGAGCATACGTATTTCACAAATACTTTCACGTTGCAATTAATTTATGCATATGTCAAAATGACGCCCATACCGGTTTTGGGCTTCCTTCCACAATAACTTCCATGGCCAATTTCTCTTCAGTCATGCATGCCATGTCAACCATCTTTTTCACAAATCGTGGGGGTGCTTTGAAAAAACAAGGCATTATGATAGCAGACGATAAATAAATTTAGTTCTAATGGATCTACATACCTTTGACAATTAAACGACCTTTCGTCTCAACTTGACCCAAGTCATTCACAGCTTTCACCACATACGTTCCTACAACCATGATATCCATAGCATATAAATTATGCAGATCGACAAGTGCAACATAGGTATTTTTACGTACCGGCATCCTCCTTTGTGACGTTTTTGATAATTAAGGCGATAGACTCTTCGTCTTCGTAAAGGAACCTAAATCTGCCACCGGCTACGATTTCTTCCTTGCCGTTCTTATACCTTTATCAAATAAATCATTATTGAAATATTACAATGTTTTTATGCATGCAATAATTATGTACCTACCAAGAGACTTGAGGTTTGGGGTACCTAATGGGAAGTCAATTCAGATTAGTTTAGTTCATCATTCAAATATAAAGTATTTTATATTTTTAAGTGAATGTTTCGATATTTATTTATCCAAAATCCAATTGTATGAATAAAGTACCAAATAACGCACTAGAAAAAATATTATCTGGGCCCCCTTACCCTGAAACCTTAAGTTCCATCATTGCTGAGCCACCGACTCCAACTTCGGTATCAGCTAACTCGGCCGTAATAGTTGGGGGACATGGTTCCTTGAGCAATTGATGAATTGCCCCTAAAATCACCCCCAATCGATGAGTATTTTGCCATATTTTATTACATGAATGCAACAATTACCTTGAACAGTCAACTCTGCAGAACACGATATTTTACCACCGCTGGTCTGTGCAATAACGCTGTACAGACCGGCATCCTCGGGCGTGACGTGTTGGAAAACCAAAGCCAGAGTGTCCTCTTCTTCCTGTTATGTAATAATTATGCATGGGTATTTATGCTGATACAGCTCTTATTTTATAGTTCTATCAATAATTCCGAGTCACGTAACTTACTCTAAACATAACTCTGAGTTTTTCATCTGGAGTAAAGGCTCGACCGTTGAGGTAAAAATCAAATTGTGGTTCTTCGCCTAAATAAAACTTATCAAGTTACTGCAAACTTATTGACTGCAACTTAATTTTAATCAGGAAAATTAACGAACCTGGATTTAGCAAACGCTTTCCTTCAATTCCCTTGAACAATTCCTTCTCATCAACCACTTTCACTTTTGCGGTGACTTCTTGTTTGCCATACTTGTTTTCAGCCACTACTTTATACTCTCCTGCATCATCGTCGGAGATTTTTTCGATACAAAATTCATACGTATCATCTGGCTGTTTCAGGATTTTAGTTCTCTCAGTTTCTTCTTGTAAAATCATCCCATCGTGATAAAATGTCAGCTTTGGTTCCGGCTTTCCCTTTACAACGAACATGAAAGACACTCTGGAAAATACCGAAAAGAATAGTAACTAAAATTGCTATGTTTATACTTATATTTACATATATGCAATAGGTCTTACCGCGTGTCTTTAAGAAGCTCAGTGTCATGAAATTTGACGAAGAAATGCGGACTGTTGAGTTCTTCCATTTTCTTTTGACGCTCCTCGGCCGTGACTATAAAAAAATTACTATAAGTAAAATACCACTGTACAATTTATCTATACTCTTCAGCTTACGTTCATGAATGGTAAGAACTGCACAGCATGTGGAAACTGCAAATGCTTCATTTGTAATTTTTGCCGTGTAAAGACCAGAGTCTTCATCTCCTAAAAAATTCAAGTAGGAAAATGCAAGTTGTATTTATCAATGATAATTAAATCCATTCAAACTGTACTTACGACAATTTAAAAGAGTCAGAGAATGTTTATTGTCTTTGGAAGTTATTTTTACGCGATCGGCCAAGGTATCATCCAAGGGTCGATTCCCTTTCAGCCAGGTAATGATCACAGGAGATTCAGTCACACATTCAAAACTTGCGTTATCTCCAGCTACAAGTTTTCGTTACAAAATTTAGGTTTTTTCGACAACATCGTTTTAAAGCTTCTCTCAAAGTGGACCTATGTAGGTATATTTAAATGAATAAAGGAAATAACAAACTTTACTCACGTTCGCATTCGACGGAACGCAGTGGTTTCACAAACACTGGAAGTGCGGAAGGTACTTCAGGCGCCATAATTCCAACTGAACTTTTCCTTCTGATTACACTTGATCTCCTTTTTAACTGTTTTAGTTCTTCGGCGGAAGGAACATTGGACGATTCCTCTACGTTTGCAGCAACTTCACTTTCACGTTTTACGCTTTCCTGGCAAGACTGCTGACTTTCTCCAGCTTTCTCTTTTTGAAATTTGTCTTTCTTTATTCCTGCTGCTTTTGTGCTTTGCTGTGTTGTCTGAACTGTTTCCTCAGACGAACTTGGAACAGTCGAATTACTGGTTTGTTTAGTGCCACTTTTTGATGAAACTTTAGCGTCCTCCGTTTGAGTACTAAATACTTCTTTATCCTGAGAATGTTGTTTTGTTGTGTCTGTGGCTGAAACTATTTGTTTGGCTGATGTCTCACACTTCAATTGTTTACAATCAGCTTCCAAGTTTTCCTTTGGATGTGTAGGCTCGTTGCTTATCACGCCACTTTGGCTTCCCAAACTTGTTTCACTGACTTTCTGAGTCAAGGATTCTTGTTTTTTGATTTCAGACTTCTTGTCTGTTTTAACAGACGATTGTTTTGTCGCTTTATTTTTCTCGGCTACACTTTCTCCTTCTCCTGTTAATGGTTCTAACTCAGTAATTTGACTTTCACCACTTGGTCGTTTCACTCCTTCGGATTCTTTTCCAACTTGTTGACGCTCTTTTGCCAATGTTTGTTCAGGGAGGACGTCAGCTCTTGCAAAAGTGTTTGATATTGTTGTACTTGAATCTGCAACTAATGATTCAGTCGATACATCTAAAGCACTCGTTACGCTTATTTGATCTCCTCCTTTTTGCACAGATAATGTGTCTTGTTTTGCTAATTCTTTTTTATGCAACTTACTACTTTCACTAGATTTGTTCACTTCTTGAGCACTTTCTTTCACAGGTGTACTTACAAGATCACTTTGTTCAACCGAGATTGGTATTTGTCTATTTCCTATTTTCGAAGGCACGCCACTTTCAGTTTCTACTCTAGCTTTTCCCGAAAGTGCTTCGTCCTTTTCTTGCGTGGATGTACGAATGGGTGTTGTTTTGATTACACTTGAATCTTTTTCAAGAGTCTCGGCCTCTTGTAAACTAATTTCTTGGATAGTCACCCCTCTGACCGTGGGCTCGCTGTCTTTTCTTGAGGACGAATCTTGAGATGATGGTAATGGAGGTTCAGCACCAGAAGTTCTTCGTGGTGGAAGAGACGCTTGCCTACTTGACCTACGGAGACTTCCTTCTCGTTTCAATTGTCGGATATTTTCTTCGGTTCTCTGTGCAACTGGTAAAACAAAAGATTTTTTAAGCAAAATGTTTAACCGATGATGCAAATTTTTACTATATTTTAATACTTACCAGCGATATCAGGTTGCAGGCTTTGTTGGACAATCTCTGACCATTCGGTTACAATTTCTTCTGATGGACTTTCAAAAATATAGACTCGAGGTAGTCCTCTCAAAATAAATTTTTTCTCGTTCACTTGTTCTAACGTATATTCTGGCAACTGTCGATGATAGAAAAAAAACATCGGATGATTTTAGACTTGATGTAATTAATTCGGCATTAATTTTATCGTCATCATTCTTTTAAATACCTTGATAATGTCCTTAAGAATGAAAACAGACCTTTCTTCAGATATCTTTCTAACTTTGGTCACCAAAATTCTGTTTTTGAACAAAAATACGTATCGTTGTTTCACTTCGTCGACGTCTTGTCGGGTTACAGTGAACCAGTCCTGTAAAATAAAACATTTATTTTATAACATAATAAAATAATCATAAAATATAATCATGAAAATTACCAGACAAAAATAAAATGACTTTTATTTCTGTTTGTAATAATCCAGAAATTTCCCTAAATTTTGCAATAAATTTTGCAGACGCACAAGTCACTGCTATTTTTCCTCAATAAACATTCAATCATTCAATCTATTTATAAAGGTGACGATGATTTGCAATGACTCCAAAAGTAAACAAGTTTATCAACTTTACAATTCAGCAGAGGAAACAGATCTCGAGCGAAATGTTTTCAAGACTGAATGAAACGTCCATTTAAAAGTCGTAACAAAAGCCAGTTAAAAATATAGGCGTCGTCGTACGTACCACTGAGTGAAGCGAAGTGTCATCTCCAAAAAGTTTAAAACCAATAAGTTCTAGTGAATCGAATTTGCAATAGCAGTAGAAATTTTTGGAGTTGTGCCGATTTAATATAAAATAAGTTTGCGAATGTGGAGGAGGAGGTGACATTTACTTACATGCCGTAGTAGTCGTCCAAGGTGAAAAACATTCCCATGAAATCCGAATCCTTCGATATTGCTCAGAAATGTCTTGTCGTGTATTTTTTGTGGGATTGATAAAAGCAGATCCAACGCTTTCTCGAGATCGAGAGTGTCCTCTTTGAGAATCCTTTGAATGTCGATAAGATCTTGCAAGATTAGTTGGTAATCATTGATCCGTTGAAGGGGAAGTTTCAAATGGTCACTTAAGGATTTTTCATCCCCCAAACTGAGGGTGAGTTCCTGCAATTATTTCAACTAGTGCAATTTTTGCGAAACCCAAGAAATCACATGAAATCTGGTCACTGGAGCAAAGGGGATAGATAAAAAAGCAGCAAGCGATATCTAGTGCTACTGTTGCATGTAAAACTTGGTGCAAGGCAAAATGCCAAAGAACCAAATTTAGTCTCGAGATATAAATAGGATAGCTGACCTCAAAATATTCAGAGATTTCCAAATCATCTCTCAGCAACGCCTGGGCGCTAGGCTCCTCTTCACTGATGTATTCAGCGTGATGGTCAAAATATCTTTCCTATATTTGCATTCATGGATCACATTATGTCAACATTAATCCCTGCTGCAAATTAGCTGCAGTTCCTTTATTTTTCTCTTACGAGGCGCAGAAATGTTCTACCAATCATTCGTGGCTCGCTCATGTAGTAGCGGAAGCCTTCCAGCAGGATCCTATTAGTCAAAGGGGAACCAAAAAAGTCATTTATCATCAAAATGAGCAATTAGTATGAATGAGGCAGCAGCATGTTTAGTGATTTTTGCAGGTGAATAGAATGAAGATGAATGAATTTTCGTTATCATTACCAATACACGAATGTACTCTGTTCTATGCATAAGATACAGTCTAGTCCCACACACACACAAACACACACCCACAGACAGATGCATGTACAGGAAGTCGGAAGAAGGTAAGCGAGAAAAAAACGAGCATCAAGCGACATGTAGCTCATACCCTTGGTGAAACTCGAAAATTGGCTTGAGAGAGCCAAAGAGATCTCTGTACTTGGCCAACTTGTTTCCCGAGCCAAGTGCTTTGTAGTAGTTGTCGATCACATAACTCAAGTCTCGAACGAATTCTTCCTCCGTTTCCACCAGCTCACGTAAGGTCGCTCTTTAAAAAGGAGACAAATAACTTTATGATACAATAGCAGCTCCTTCAGTCAGACGAATGATGGCAATCTACTTATTTACATAAAAAATAGCATAAAAGCATTCGTACTCTCTATTTATAAGCGCCAGTTGTTCTGAAGTCGTTGTCTGTAGCTCGTCGGCAGATTTCAGAGAAATTTTTGATTTTTTCTGGTTCTCTGGTTTTCTCGATCGCGACATTTCAATCTTATGACGGGCAAAACTATTGTCCAGTAGTTCAATTGGCTCCAAATCCATCATTTCGTCAAAATCTGGTTCATCTGCTGTCGTTAATCGGGCGCGCCTTGAGATACAAGGAATGAAAAATGTCTTGTTACAATAATGCGCGAGATTTTACTTGAGAGCGACCTAAATGGTTTTCTCAGCTATGCAAGTAAATAATTAGATTCGAGATTACTGGCATCTCGTCTTGATTAGATTCCACTTATCTTAAGGAAGACGACGTGACGAGTGCTTAGTATTTTATTATGCAACAGCAGTTGTCGCGTTTCGTGCAACTGTTGTTTCATGACACGCATACCCTGTTCCCATTGTGCAAAACCGTTTTTATTATTAGTTTAGTTGTTACATAGTAAAAAAATAGTAAAATAGTTTCGTTGTAAAATTAAAATCCGGAAACCACCCAGAAACTTGTCTCCTGTCAAGCCCTGTCTCATCACTTATTCAATACGCCGCCGCCGCTTTCTATTTTATCAAATGCAGCGTATTTTCTTAAAGATTTCAACCAATATTATTCTTATTTTCCGACTGCATTGAACTCAGTTGCAAATGTGTCGGCATTTTGATGGCAAAAACGCAGAAAACTGTAAACACTACACTTTATCTGGATTAAATAATTTGAAAGAAGCGAGTAGTTAAGATTAGGTAGAGATTTTGTTAATCATCAAGAAATAATTGAAATAGCACGTATGGAGCCAACTCGATACCATCCGCAAGATATTTACTTTAATGATCTCACTGGCTGGTATGTTACCGAGGTGTTTACCGAGACAAGTTAAGGTTTAAAAGAGAAATTTTTCAGATCAGAGACAACATACTCTTAACGCATGCATATACCTGGGCTGTACATATGTACATATGCTATAATACAAGGGTCATGTGCTCTTCATTACACAATATGTTCATATTGTCACAACTTGAGCAAAACTGATTTTACATAAGAAGGAAATTCCTTCATTTGACGCCTCTACATACAACTCACAGTTTTCGTCCCTTTTTAATTTTCGTACTGTATCAGCATTTCATTATGGATGACGGTTGCAGAGTGTGCAATGTCAATTGTCTCGTCGCAAGCATAATAAGTCTGACGGCACAAAAGATGGAAAATGTGCGACTGGGCAAGTAAAGAACGACTCTGGTGTGGCGTGGCATGCGGAAATTCTATTTTTAACGAATCCATCTTACTCATCTGCAACAAGCTGCAACATTGGGGTCAAGATCCATGATCTTCCTTCCCCCGCTTTTAACAGCGGCAGTGATAAGGTGACGAAGGAGAACAAATATTACACTTTAGATTCAAATGTCAATGGCAAACTAACATCAACAATTTGCTTTCTTTTGCTAACGACTTATGTAAATACGTATGTATTATGTTTGCATGTGCATATTACAATATCATGATAATTACTATAATACTGGTGCATTGGGTTTTACATAGTGCAAGCAAAATTCATACTTTGAGTGAGTAGTTCCAGTTCCTTGTGCGGAAGAGAAAAATGAAGATGACTCTTCCGTATAGACGGAAACTCCAGTTTTCTCCATCTAGAAAGTTCAGACATTTTAAATAATTAACTATTCGAGCGATTAATTTTAACCACTCACTCTAAATAAACGTATAAATAAATTGACGGTAACAGTTATAAAATAAAATGCTACAAATGATAACGCTACGTAACCATGACAACATGATAGACAAGAACAAGACGAGGACAATATAATCAGCGGGACTACAACATTTACATATGCACAACATTGACATAAAGTTTGAAGCACGATATTATGAGAATTTGTCCGCAACCTGGGAGTGGTTTTCTACCGTGGCAGTGGTCACACAGGTGGCGACGTGGTCGATCGCCTTGACCTCTTCATCACACGGAGGAGTGTAAAACCTTTCCCGTTCTTCTTGTGCGAAAACATACTCGGTAAGAATTTGTGCGTCACGAATTAGCTCTTGATTTAACTTTAAATCTATTTTTCCACTTTCTCCAGAAGCCCCATTCACTCGTAACGATGAAGATGCACTCGCAGGGTTTGATGAGCTCTTTTTGGCAGCCATCAACTTTTTTAGGATGACAAGCTGTCTCAAAATGAACAAAACTTGCGCATCATTGACGACGGTTTCATAGTCGATGTCATCTTGAAGAAGGGCTTCCAACTCTTTGACCACGTCCAGCTTGCCCATGACTTGGGCCAAGTGCAATGCCTCTTCCAGCAGGGCCTCATTGAAATCACGGGTGAGTTGACTTTCCACGTGGTCTTTCAGCATATCGGCTGCTCTGATTTCACTTTCACCCATGATGTCCTCGTGATGGTAGCCTTCAACCAACAACTTTTTGCAGTCCTCGAGCACTTTCCCCGAAGAGGCAGACTCCTTCAACAAATCACATTTTTCACCTTTTTTCGACTTTGACTGACTCACATGATTTTTGGCGTGGCTTTCGCCATTTTCATTCACAATTTCATCACAAATTAAACGTAAAAGTTGCGGATCTGAAAATTCTTGTAGCACTTTCTCCACTATGACTGACATTTCTTGAGATGAAGTTTTTAGTTTTAACTGTGAGCACAATTTTTGTATGATTAGATCCTGTTTTGCTTTTTGAGAAGTTTGGAGGGTGGAAACTACCAAAGAGCTTTTTAGTTGAGCTTCCATTAACCCACTCGTCATAATTAGGGGAGATTGAAGCCCGTTTTCTTTGATAACTTCCAATATGACCTTCTCCACTGCTACGAGAATAGCATCGGGAGGATCATCACTGCTGATGCTGCTGCTGCCGTTGGTTGCCATTTTAGTAAAAACTTGTTGAATCAGACCAGGAGCTGTTTTCTTTACCTTATCAAAATTTATGCTCACTTTTTTCGACACTTGGGATTGATGGATGAGTGACTCGACTATTTCTTGAGCAACAAGCTCTTTTAAAACTTTGGCCACAATTTCTTCCGGAAAGCATAATTTGAGGTTTCTGGATTTAGTTTGGAGTTGAGCAAATACTGGCTGGATTACGGAAGCGAATTTCTGCGTAACTTTTTCAAAAACGAGATCTGTAGCGGATGAAGAAGTAGAAAAAGCTGCTGCTGCTGCTGCTGTTGAGGTGTCTGGCAAGTCTATTTCCATCTCATCAGAAGTAGAAGAAGAAGAATGAGGGACATTGAACATGAGTTCTGCTTCCTGTTGTTTCAGAGCCTGGAGAACTTTTTGTACAGCACCGGCTGTCTCTTTAGCAGAAAGGTTCATCTCCAAACAAATCTGCTTGATTATGCCAGCCGCCTTCTCCATTACTTTTTCAACAACGGACTCACTTGTCACATTCACAAAGTCTGCAGACTGCGGTACAGGGGTAGCACATTCGACGTTATCTTCATCACCCACTACTTCCAACCCGTACATTACAATGGTTTCCTCCCCTGTCTTGTTGTCTCCAAAAGTGGGAGCAGCTTCCAAAATGTCTACCGAAGCTTTTCTGCTGGAATTGGCATTTGTTAACACACCTCCAGACAGAGTGGTACAAATAGACCTCGTGTCACCCTCTTGTAAATCCGCCGAAGAGGGTGTAAACTCGTGTCGAGCAAAATCGTGTAAACTATCACAAACTGCTGCTGCAGCCTTAACATCGTCATAGTCGAAATCGAACGTGCTGTCAAAGGTCTGAATTTCAAAGGAATCCTTTTCCACCTCACAGATAAACTTTAACCCTTCATACGTCTCAATTAGCTCACCGGCCTTGAAAATCAGACTATTGTTAACCTCTTCCACATGGCCGGGTAGGAACTTAAATTCTAGTTCATTGTTTTTCTCCAAATGCTCAATTAGCAAACCAGGCACGAACTTTTTAACATTTTCTATCGTCATAACTTGCCCAGGTACAAATAAGCTTGATCCATCCCTGTTTTTAATCATCTGTCCAGCAGTAAAATTACCATTTTCCATTTTCCCAGGAATGAATTTCTTTTTCCCTTCTTTCTCAATGTAGATTCCACTGACAAATTCGCCATCCTTCATAATGCCAGGTGTAAACCGGTGGCCATCCAATCGCTTTCCGGGAACAAAAACTTCGTTAAAACTCTCGCCTGCAGTAAATACTCCGCCTTCTTTTTGCCCTTTTACAGCATGTTTTGGAACTTCCTCCTCTCCTGTGATTTCTGTGAATTTGTTATTGTGATCCATGTAGCCAAATATTGGGGCCTTGCTATGAATTATCTTGGATTTTACCAACTCAACTTTGGTAACATCCGGTTGTATTTTCTCCATTGCCTGTTTCTCTGCAATTTCAGCCAACTGTTCTTTTCGTTCAAATATGGCCTTTAAGTCGCCCAAGAGGAGAGACTTTTTTCGTTTTTTCCTCATATTTCGTTTCAGTCCTTTCCCCTTAAAGAGGACGAGGCTGAGCTCGGGCAATTTATCTGTAGACTCGATTATCAAATCATATTCTTTAATCGTATTGATGTAGCGGAATCCGATTTTATTATTATCCTCCGATATTTGCACATCTTTAATAACTCCACGATTTAATTCCTGCTCAACACTTTTTGGTAGCACCAATATCTTGTTGTCCAACTCGTAGTAAAAGTGATCCGTGGTGGTGGTGTCATTATTAATGTCATTGCGATTCGACCCATTGCTGGCTTTCCCTTGAGTTGCATGGTGATTCTGAGAGTGTGGAGGAGCACAATCTCCAAAATTGGGTTGAAGAAAGTATTTATAATCGTACACTGACTTTTCTGTTATTCTGCACTTGATCACTGACTCTTCAATCAACTTGGTAATGGGAATGTAATGATGGTCTGGGTTAAAATTGCATGTAATTCTACACCCGGATATGAACCGTTTTGCATCCTTTGGACTAATTGGGGGCAGAAGCGGACAGTAGTTGGTTTTTGGCAAACCTCGAGAGTGCCCTGTGATTCGGCAAAATGTTGGAAACATTTTCGTTTCCTCTTCTTCTGTGGGGCTCTCTTATGTTCTTGAATTTTGCTGATTTTTTAAATGAAATTCAGTGCAATGAGAAAATGTTGCAGCAGTTGCGGTTGAAGTAGCGGTTGATGAGTGAGATATTATGGTAGTAAGTAACAGAAGGACAAGAAGAAATGAAGAAAGTTGACACACAGACACACACGCTCAGCTGAAAGCTATAAAAGATGAGTTTTCAAACGACGACGTGTATGCAAATCTACGTAATCTGCATATAGTACGAAATGTATACATCGTTTACAAGTCGGAAGTAGTAGTAGTAAAAGTTTAGGAAATGAAAAATCCTAACAGCAAGTTTGAGTTCCAGTAAAAAGGATGAGACATGCAAGTACAAAAAATAAGCCGAATGTAAGTATAATAGTGTTAGTGATGAGCGGAAATGAATTATTTGGTGGTGTGGCGGCGAATATATGAGTACAAATACACCTACTGCAGTCTGCACTAAAGCGATAAAGTTAAAAAGGAATAACGTTAAAAGAGGTGTTCGAACGATGTGCTTTTTCGAGAGTGAATGAATGGTGGTCATGAAGAAGATAAGTTGGGAAAGGTTTCCAATGTACGAGAATATACGTACGTATAAAGCACGTACATAGGTAGACATTAGTTAGTTACATGGAAGAGGAGGCCTAATAAGAGGATGTGAGTTTAAGCCGTGAGTTCAATGGGAGCGGAATATGGTGTGTATTTCCAAAAATAGAAATTAGAAGATGCCTGAACAAGAAGTGGATGAGATGATGAGCAAATCGAGTCGTGGGAAAATATGGCACCAATTACACAACACACACCTCAACTGTAATAACTCTTCTGCTAAAGTGTGTGTACAATCGGGTTGGAATGTTGTCATGGTTACTGGGGATCTGCCTATCAACCTGTTTGATTAAACTAAAATAAAGCAATAAAAACCGAGCAAACTTACAAGAGTGGTTCGTTCCTCCTTAAAAAACGCTTGGCGTTGATAACTTCCCTCCATGCTGATCCTCTCTCTTCTATATGTTTCTCTATAAAATCGGAGGAGAAACAAATCAGATTTCACTCAAGAAGCGTCTTTGGAACAACACTAACACTGAGACGGCTTTCTTTTCTGCATAGTTTTTTATCCTCGGCTTTTAGGACACAGGTTCAAATCACAAAACCAGATGCATTTCCTTTATGCCTTGAATATTGGAGGCTGGCCAAGTACCAAATTTTATGTATGACGTTACTTCAAACAACACCAAACGGTCTTCACACACATGGAGCATTCCAAGTTAATTTCAACAGGCATGAACTTTTATATTCATTAAGATTAATGAAAAAATGGGCTTGGACTCGTGCCATCGGATGGAAGATGATGCATCAACGCGATAATCACACCGAGACACTTCCGACTTACATTATCATGGCGATAATATAAGTTTATATAAGCACTCCTGCAAACATTCGTTCCGATAATTTCTTTAGAATGGGGTTTAGCAGAGAGTGGGTGTGGGTCATGTCATATGCACGTCGACCTGACGATTGAATAGTCAATCATTATTCAAACGATACATATTTCTTACTTCCAAAACAAACATGTCATTGAATGACCTAGAATTGGGCAGATATGAATATGCGTGGGATATCATTGAATATTGTATATACATAGAATGGCACAGTTTTAACATGTGTGTATTCGTTCCAAAATTGTTGGCTATATGAGTATCATGAGTTTGGAAGAAATTTCGATAAAATTTAACTTATTAAGTTGAAAAAATATGTACGCAAACTATTGGAGATATATATCCAATTCCAATTATAATCATTTTATTCAGCAAAGTTGTACAACTACAATGGGTCCATGTATTCACGCCCAACTTTAAACACGTCAATCTCTGGCTTTACTTTGTCGTATAGGTGCGGAAAAGCTCCAATTGCATGATATTTAGAGCGCACTTTTTCATACAATGTTAGATCAAACATTTCTTCAAATTCTTTGCGGTCCACTGTAATTATGGGTTCTTGTTAATCGTGTATCTTATATGGTGTAAACATTGTTTACTACTTACTAAAAATGTCTGCATAAAGAAAAGCATAACCTCCAACATCTCGTGTGAACCTGCAACACACACATTATTTTACTTAATAGTTAGCAAAGTTATTAACTACCACAAGTGAAAATATAATCTGTTGTACGCACTTTTCCATTTTCCTAAGAGCGTCAACAGCATCAAAACGCTCTCGACGCTTGACAGGACCGGGCACTCCATAAATTCCGATCTGTTCAAGAATTATTTTAAATTGTGATTCCATAAACAACAATACGTACTAACTAATAATTATTTATACATCGTTGAACATTCCGTAATTAGAGCCTGGCACCATTTGGTCTTTACGAGGTGGTCTTAACTGTCCCCTTATTTAAATAAAAATCATGAAAATGCATTCCTTATTTGGCAGGGCTTATATGTTTTTTGCATACTTGTGTTTGCCGTGATCATATATTTTGCATGGATAAACCAAAATAGGATAAGTATCAAAGAGTTTCTCTGCTGTATTGATTTGATCTTCAAGCTGGTTCATTGGTAGGACAATATCTTGAAATACTTGCTTTGTGAAAGTCATGGCTCGGATCCCAGGTGTCGTAGTAAACTATTAGTAAAAATATATTTATCAAGCACCTGTACAGTCTTAATTTTTGCAATATTTCACAAATTTGCCTGTCTCGTACAAACTGAGCAAAAAAAATAAGATTGAAATAATCAATTACCTTTAAAAATGCTGGTTTTGGGGGAAGTAACCAGCCAAACAATAATCTGATAAACAGTATAATCAACTAATTTTAATTGGACGATTATTGTGATCATGTTTCGATTTTAATTACCAATTACCTAAATATTGGATTATTTCCGAAAGGAATCATACTTTCGACAACCCAGAATATTGCCCGATTGTGTCGTAGCAGGTAATCTCTCAAGGGAATGTATTCATCTTTAGGCTTGCCCTTTTTCATAATGGATTCTACATGCTTATAAAACCATGGCTTATACCAGAGAGCCACGTGATTGATCTAGTGCATTTGTAATTTCCAGTATTAATAAATAACTTGGACTAATAGTGATTAATTTGAATAAATAAACACCTTCATCCACTCTGACCAATTGGACATTGGTGGTGCATCTGCAAAATTTGCTAACATAATCACGGCTTCATCTTTTGAAAACATGGTGGCTTCGACAAAATCATCAAGCTACATATGTACAAATTAGTCAGTGGTATATGATAAATTTTAATTTATCACTACTTTAGTGATTCGAACCTTTCTATTTTTATCAATTGCACCAGAAAGTTCTCTAATACGGTCACAGTAATTCTTTTGTCCTTTAACTGGAATATACTTCATGTGGACGTACGGCTTTGCAGGGACAATTTGTAGTTCTAAGGCTGTCAAAAATCCCAAAGAGCCTAGAATAAAATAATCACAAGTCTAATTAAAATCATATGGGATTACATACATCACATTGTCAATAAAATTACCATGAGACCATGGAAGGGCATAATACAAGTCCGAGTGCTCGTTGTCTTTTTTTGCAGTCACAAGTGACCCATCGCCTAAGACGACCTCGTAGGAAGTCACAGCCTCCTGATACAATCCCACCTTATGGGAATAAGTGGTCATTCCCACGCCTAACGCCAAGCCACCTAGTGTCGCGTCCGCAATTTCTAAACAAACGGCCAAAGTGTAGCCTCTGGGGATCAGAAACTTTGTAATTTCGCCCACGGTCACCATCGGCTCCACTTTTACGGTAAGATTTTTCTCGTCCAAATCCAAAATGTTGTACAAGGGGATGGCAATCTGATGGCATTCTTCCTGCAAACACCATGAGCATTGTTTACACATTCCCCACTTGTTTGTAGTTACAGTTAGATTGTATTACGGATTGGGGTTTGTACCTTTTTGAAAAAAGTCACAGATAAACTTTGCCAATTTGGACGAGATGTGCAGAGAAGTTTCTTTTTTGCTGGTTCGACATCTTTCCACCGGAGCACCTGGAATAGAATTTGTCAAAAGTATCAAACTCAGAATCCACAAGGTGCTAAAATGTCTCTTATGAATCTCTATGCATACTTGAGCCTGTATATCGGCCACCCTCTGGTCATGGGTGTGTCCTGCAGCTGGGCTGATCTTTCGTTGTATCCACACCCACGTTCGGAGGACCAGGTCAAAGAGAAGGCTGGCTGGGAGACAGAAAATCAGAATAACGAGTCCTCTGTTGTTCTCGAGCCATCGGATGGCTTTCTTCCTGAGCTCCATAATATTACACCTTTCCAATTATCCAGGAGCTCTGCGACCCTGTCCAGCTGACTCTTGTAACTGAACAGCCTTGATTTGCATGCAAATGCGTGTCCACGGGAGATGTTCATGCAATGAACTTATAGGCAATTGAGCTGATTGAGTTGTTCTCCGTCTCAATGACCTTGATGAAAGCTCCATACCGTGAGTGAAACAATACAATGTAGCCAAGTGGCAAGATAAGCGAGATAAGTCAATTATCAAGAAACTTGACTTCAACAGGTGCAATTTCGGAACAATGAGCTGCTTTCATCCACCCACACAGTGTGGGCCACACTTGCAATGGAAACAGATAATCCAACTCTGTGCGACAACCAAGTTCCATTAAATCTCTCCACAAAGATTCAAATTTGTTAGAAAGTTATTTCGATCTCCTCAAAAAATGTGTATTTAATGTACATGATTACCTGTACTTTTCCCAGTGTTATATTGTTGTGGTGCCTAGTTTTTGTCTGACTTTTTTTATATTGTGTCCAATAAAGTAACTACTGTACAATGCTTACTTAGTAGAAAATCTCATAACGTCCTCTCTCTCTTGCATTCATTTTTACAATTTTACATGCGACGCTCATACATACATACATATTACATAAATATATACGTATGTATTTGTATGTATATCTGAATTATTCAACACATTTCATGTCCATGCACGACGACGACGACGGCAACCGGACATTTCAATAACAATTACAATGGCCTTGAATGTTGCAGCCTTGACCTTACATTTGAATCAATTAGAATATAAATCCGGAACTGATTGCACAACTGAAGATCGTCGAGCCGTCATCGTCCAGGGTGGTAAATAAATAGAGAGAGCCGAGGAGTATGGGACACATTATGGGCCAAAACAAATGCATGCGTCTTATTTGATGATAACCATTATCTGCAATCTGCTATTACATAAAATAAAATGAATCCTTCCCAAGAAGGGTGGCTGGAAAAAGTTGGGTCATTCGTTCGTACTAAATATTAAATATTACTGCTGCTGATGCTAATACTGCTTGGGTTGAGATGCAGAACTTTAACTTCCTCTTGCTTGGTAAATAATGAAGGAAATGTTTGTTTGGACGATGAACTTATTTGATGCAACTCTTACAAAATATGGTCATCCACACACAAAATTGGGGCATAAATTGATGAAAAGGATGGGACAGGATTTCTTCTTCCTTATTATTAACCTAAACTCTCCAGTTGCATTAATTCAGTGCGCAATCTGCTGAACAGATTCATCGATTTATGCATTAATTTTCTTCCGCATCAAGCTAAAGTTGAAATTTCGGGTGAAAATGGAATCGGTAAATACATATAAAATTGGCTTGTTTTTTTAAGTACTAAATAAAAAAATGTATTAATTTAATTTAGAAATCATTTCTCGTTGCATTGACCATTTTGATGGTGCTGAAGGATAAAGTATCGTCGGGTGAAGTGATTGAGGTTCGAAGCATGCAAGAATGGGATCGTCGCATCATCCGGAATAATAACGGAACGCTAAGCGTCGTTCAGTTCTCTGTCCCATGGTACGCAACCTATTAATTCGTAAAACTTCTTGTCAATTATTTTATCAATTACATTTTAAACAAATATTTTTATGCCCTAAACTAATCGTTTTTTTTAAACAGGTGCGGATATTGCAGATACATGAAACCAGAATTTGTTAAACTTGCTGCCCGGCATCAAGATGTAATTTTCCTGAATGTGGACGCCGATCAACAACAGAATTTAGCATGGAGGATGGGCATTAGATCTGTCCCCACGTATAAATATTTTAAAAATGGTCGAAATGTAGACTCGATTACAACCTGGCGACCATCCGTTATCAATGACCTCATTAATCGATTGAAAAATTGATGCAAGTCGATTGATCATTGCTAAATGTTGTCCCGAAACTACGTTACACTATTTATGCTATATATTTATGTTACACTAGAAGAATAAAATGTACCACGCTATATTGCGTCGTATTATATTGTACATGTGCATATATATCATTCATGAACAAATAACACAAAGGATTTTGTAGAGGAATCTACTCAACAGATTTCAGCTTGCGGGAACCAACCAATATCTGGTTGGTCTTGTCATTTGCTACATTTAAATTATACACCCCTTGATACTCACAAATCTATTAAACAATGACACGATTCCAGTCGTGGTCATTTCATATTTCAACGAATTCAATAAATAATCTGTAGCCATCCGTGATTCCGCTCAGTCGTACGTAGTTAATTACAAAGTGCCAAGTTTAACGAATCTCTCAAATCTCTCTTCTTTCTTAACTTTCTTTTCGCGTATCGCGATCCGCGTAATATATCAATAATAAATAGTCACTCGTTTGCCTTGATTTATTGCGAATAAGTCAAATGTACTTACTACTAATTAATTAAATGGCGAGTGCAAAAATTCCAGCTCAAAAAGTTATCCTTTGTGGTGACTATGGGGTGGGAAAGTCGTCGATATTTCGCAGATTTGCCAACGATACCTTTGTAGCCTCGAATGACCGCAAGTCCACTCTGGGACTGGACTTTTACAACAAGGCCTTTTGCAGTGAGAGTGGTACGGATGGTCACACCCACGCCTGTCAATGTCCCCCCATCAGCAAACTTATGGTGAGTAGTGAGTACGTAGCAGTGCATACGTACGCATGTACATAAGTACGTGCACAATAAGAATATTAAGAATCAAATGATAAATCTGAAGATTGACAATTTTAAAATCAGTAGCATGTAAAGTACACTGAATTTTTAAAAGGTCCAGCTATGGGACACTGGTGGCATGGAAAGGGTCGCAACTGTGACCAGTAGTTATTACAAATTCAGTGAAGCAGCAATTTTGGTCTATTCCGTGGATAATCCAGATTCGTTCAATTCCTTGGCAAACCATTTGTTAGAAGTCGCCTCATTTGCAGAGAACGCTAAAATATTTTTGTGTGGAAACAAAATCGACATAATTACCTCAGATTTAGTGTCAAATGATGACGTTGACAATTTTTGGTACGAAATTTTTCTATTAAATAATAAAACTATCTACCATGATTATGATATTGATTTGCAAAAGAGTTTTAATCTGATTACTAAATCGCAGTGAACAATGCGGGATAGTTTCCGGAATTTTTAAAACGTCCTGTAAAACTGGGGAAGGAGTGAACGACATGTTTGACGAGATTGCTCGCGTAATTTCAACATCGTCACGTTCGCGACATGAATTACTTCAGTTGGAACAGTCATTTAAATTGACCACTGCGGATATCGACTCTGCAGAACAACAACCCGACAACTGTGTCTGTTGACTACGCGTATCAAACAATATGAACTTAATCGCCATCGCTCGCTTAATTAACTAACGTCAAATAATCAGCAATTATTTATTTATGTGTGTAAAAATAACCAAAGATTAAACATCGCAATTTAAATATATAAAATTTCCATTTTTTTAATGCATTAAATGTTTTTCATTCTATTCATCAATTCGTCCAAAGATTCACCTGCGTCGTCATCAAGTTCCACCTCTTGATGACTCTCTTTCAGAGGTTTGCTTGGAATGTCGTAGGCAACTTTTAGACCAGGAACGAGATTTAAGCTAGTTTCCTCTGACACTTCTTCATTAGTGGGGTCAGACTCCACTAAAGATATTCCCCAATCGTTGTCCTCGTGCACAACTTCAGTCTCCTCCTTTACTTCCTCAATCAATACTTCCGGATGTTCTTTTATGTAGAGCTGATACTCTGCTTGCTTTTTGATACATTTGGAGTCATCACAATTCTGATTTGGCTTTAAAGTCATTGTTGGAAAATAATCTTCCAATGCATTGTATCCGACGTATGTTGATACGTCTCCGAATTTTAGCAAATATCTGCAGAGTTGAATTGCATTTTAATCAGGTTTCTTCTTTTTCATAAGTTTCTATTAAGGAAAGCGACTTACTTTAGTGAATTTTGAACAAGCAGACCAGCAACAATTCCCATCGTCGTAGGCAAACTGGCTGCACAAACTCCTTCCTTCTTTAACATTTTTTCATCCATTTTTGTCGATACAATTAGAGGAGGTGCACACTATTAATTTAAATACAAATTCTTATGCCCATCATAATTAGCATACCAGAAAAAAATAAAGTAGTGCTTACAGAAAAGCAGGCATATTTTCCAGGGATGATAAATTGAATGTGTCCAGACACCGCATTTTCGGCAACCCCACTCTCAAACCAATTAAGGCCAATGGCATTACATGCATTATTAATTGTCATTCTGGAACAGTAATTAAATACATGTAAATGTTATCCAGGACCTTCTAAGTATTTTATCGAAGTGCATGTATTATATTACGACAATTACTTAAGACTATAATGCATATTTTACCTCGCTTCAAAATTATCCACACAACTTAATAATAAATCAATCTGCCCTTTAGTTTTGGACCCAGTTTCCAACCTGGACACAAAGTCGTCATAATTATCCACCGTTGTGATGTTGTAGTTATAAATCTCAATTTCAACATCAGGATTAATAGATTGCAGCGTGTTCTTAGCCGCCTCTACTTTTGATTGTCCAGATTGATGAGGTTGGAAGAAAAGCCGATTCATATTTGCAAGTTCCACTTTATCGTAATCGAAAAGAATCAACTATAACAATTTTTAATTAAAAAACAGCATTATCCTTCAGGACATTCATTATCATGAGATTGTGTGTTGCATTCTTCGAACCTTTCCAATTCCGCATCTTGTCAACATTTCAGCCGTGACCGAGCCAACTCCCCCAACGCCGACAACGGCGACAGTAAAAGTTCTCACATCTTCATAATTTTTAACAATTCCCATCTTTTGCAAGGCCATAAGTCGACTGGTGAAGGAATCAAAGTAAAATTGCCGTTAAACAAATATTTACTGGTTTCCGTGCGGTTATTAAAAGTTGTAATTTAAAACTCCAATACAAAATATCAGATATTTAAGCCCACCTGTAAGGATTCGAGTCTACAACTTCAGCCGACATCTTATCGATTCTTCCCCTCGTGGAGGTCCCTTTAAGTTCGGCCACCTCATTTTCAAGTTCTAGAACACGAGCCTTAAGTTCTTCAACAGTGTCCATCGTGGGGGACGTGATTTATTTTCTGACCAGATTTTTTCAGCAGCTGTTAGTGTTGTGTTGGCAAAATGTGAATGCAATCATAAATATGTGGATGTAAGAAAAAGTGGATACAGAATCGTAATCGTGCGAAAAGGTGAGAGGAAAGTGAGACAACAGGAACAGATAGATGGCCACAAATATTTATCAAACTGTCTCAGTTTAGGTCACAACTTGTAGCACATAGTGGTACTCGTAAATTGATGAATAGAATGAAAAACATTTAATGCATTAAAAAAATGGAAATTTTATATATTTAAATTGCGATGTTTAATCTTTGGTTATTTTTACACACATAAATAAATAATTGCTGATTATTTGACGTTAGTTAATTAAGCGAGCGATGGCGATTAAGTTCATATTGTTTGATACGCGTAGTCAACAGACACAGTTGTCGGGTTGTTGTTCTGCAGAGTCGATATCCGCAGTGGTCAATTTAAATGACTGTTCCAACTGAAGTAATTCATGTCGCGAACGTGACGATGTTGAAATTACGCGAGCAATCTCGTCAAACATGTCGTTCACTCCTTCCCCAGTTTTACAGGACGTTTTAAAAATTCCGGAAACTATCCCGCATTGTTCACTGCGATTTAGTAATCAGATTAAAACTCTTTTGCAAATCAATATCATAATCATGGTAGATAGTTTTATTATTTAATAGAAAAATTTCGTACCAAAAATTGTCAACGTCATCATTTGACACTAAATCTGAGGTAATTATGTCGATTTTGTTTCCACACAAAAATATTTTAGCGTTCTCTGCAAATGAGGCGACTTCTAACAAATGGTTTGCCAAGGAATTGAACGAATCTGGATTATCCACGGAATAGACCAAAATTGCTGCTTCACTGAATTTGTAATAACTACTGGTCACAGTTGCGACCCTTTCCATGCCACCAGTGTCCCATAGCTGGACCTTTTAAAAATTCAGTGTACTTTACATGCTACTGATTTTAAAATTGTCAATCTTCAGATTTATCATTTGATTCTTAATATTCTTATTGTGCACGTACTTATGTACATGCGTACGTATGCACTGCTACGTACTCACTACTCACCATAAGTTTGCTGATGGGGGGACATTGACAGGCGTGGGTGTGACCATCCGTACCACTCTCACTGCAAAAGGCCTTGTTGTAAAAGTCCAGTCCCAGAGTGGACTTGCGGTCATTCGAGGCTACAAAGGTATCGTTGGCAAATCTGCGAAATATCGACGACTTTCCCACCCCATAGTCACCACAAAGGATAACTTTTTGAGCTGGAATTTTTGCACTCGCCATTTAATTAATTAGTAGTAAGTACATTTGACTTATTCGCAATAAATCAAGGCAAACGAGTGACTATTTATTATTGATATATTACGCGGATCGCGATACGCGAAAAGAAAGTTAAGAAAGAAGAGAGATTTGAGAGATTCGTTAAACTTGGCACTTTGTAATTAACTACGTACGACTGAGCGGAATCACGGATGGCTACAGATTATTTATTGAATTCGTTGAAATATGAAATGACCACGACTGGAATCGTGTCATTGTTTAATAGATTTGTGAGTATCAAGGGGTGTATAATTTAAATGTAGCAAATGACAAGACCAACCAGATATTGGTTGGTTCCCGCAAGCTGAAATCTGTTGAGTAGATTCCTCTACAAAATCCTTTGTGTTATTTGTTCATGAATGATATATATGCACATGTACAATATAATACGACGCAATATAGCGTGGTACATTTTATTCTTCTAGTGTAACATAAATATATAGCATAAATAGTGTAACGTAGTTTCGGGACAACATTTAGCAATGATCAATCGACTTGCATCAATTTTTCAATCGATTAATGAGGTCATTGATAACGGATGGTCGCCAGGTTGTAATCGAGTCTACATTTCGACCATTTTTAAAATATTTATACGTGGGGACAGATCTAATGCCCATCCTCCATGCTAAATTCTGTTGTTGATCGGCGTCCACATTCAGGAAAATTACATCTTGATGCCGGGCAGCAAGTTTAACAAATTCTGGTTTCATGTATCTGCAATATCCGCACCTGTTTAAAAAAAACGATTAGTTTAGGGCATAAAAATATTTGTTTAAAATGTAATTGATAAAATAATTGACAAGAAGTTTTACGAATTAATAGGTTGCGTACCATGGGACAGAGAACTGAACGACGCTTAGCGTTCCGTTATTATTCCGGATGATGCGACGATCCCATTCTTGCATGCTTCGAACCTCAATCACTTCACCCGACGATACTTTATCCTTCAGCACCATCAAAATGGTCAATGCAACGAGAAATGATTTCTAAATTAAATTAATACATTTTTTTATTTAGTACTTAAAAAAACAAGCCAATTTTATATGTATTTACCGATTCCATTTTCACCCGAAATTTCAACTTTAGCTTGATGCGGAAGAAAATTAATGCATAAATCGATGAATCTGTTCAGCAGATTGCGCACTGAATTAATGCAACTGGAGAGTTTAGGTTAATAATAAGGAAGAAGAAATCCTGTCCCATCCTTTTCATCAATTTATGCCCCAATTTTGTGTGTGGATGACCATATTTTGTAAGAGTTGCATCAAATAAGTTCATCGTCCAAACAAACATTTCCTTCATTATTTACCAAGCAAGAGGAAGTTAAAGTTCTGCATCTCAACCCAAGCAGTATTAGCATCAGCAGCAGTAATATTTAATATTTAGTACGAACGAATGACCCAACTTTTTCCAGCCACCCTTCTTGGGAAGGATTCATTTTATTTTATGTAATAGCAGATTGCAGATAATGGTTATCATCAAATAAGACGCATGCATTTGTTTTGGCCCATAATGTGTCCCATACTCCTCGGCTCTCTCTATTTATTTACCACCCTGGACGATGACGGCTCGACGATCTTCAGTTGTGCAATCAGTTCCGGATTTATATTCTAATTGATTCAAATGTAAGGTCAAGGCTGCAACATTCAAGGCCATTGTAATTGTTATTGAAATGTCCGGTTGCCGTCGTCGTCGTCGTGCATGGACATGAAATGTGTTGAATAATTCAGATATACATACAAATACATACGTATATATTTATGTAATATGTATGTATGTATGAGCGTCGCATGTAAAATTGTAAAAATGAATGCAAGAGAGAGAGGACGTTATGAGATTTTCTACTAAGTAAGCATTGTACAGTAGTTACTTTATTGGACACAATATAAAAAAAGTCAGACAAAAACTAGGCACCACAACAATATAACACTGGGAAAAGTACAGGTAATCATGTACATTAAATACACATTTTTTGAGGAGATCGAAATAACTTTCTAACAAATTTGAATCTTTGTGGAGAGATTTAATGGAACTTGGTTGTCGCACAGAGTTGGATTATCTGTTTCCATTGCTGAATAGTGTCGGCTTGGAGCATCACTATTTCCATTTCTCATGATGATTGAATGTAGCAAGTCACTGGTAACAGAATCTGTACAAAAATAAACATATAATTTAGTATTCAACTAAATATTTTTTATCTTGTGCCCTAAGTAATAATTATTTCATGCGACATTGAACAAGTTATAAAAGTGAACAAGTACGTACCGTCTTCAGTCAAAAGTTTGGGTTTCTCGTTCAGCGTCCTCGTCAATGTCGAGTGCTGAATCTGAAGGGGGGACTTGAAATGCTTCATTGGACCAGATTGTTGGGGACAGTTTGAAATTCTTGGTTGAGTTAGAGCCGATGCTAACTGAGGATACAGCTGATGGGGTGGTGGGGTTGGTCCTGGGGTATTTCTCGCAGGTGGTGACTGCACATAGACTGGACTTGACTGTTGTTGGTTCATCATTGACGGTGGGGGAGAGCCCGAGTGAGATTTTTCTGACACGCTGTACCTAATTCGACACAAATTAAAAAATATTTATACATTGCTACATGAATATGCACAATGTAATTTGAGACTCACCGAAACTTTTTATGGGGACGGTAAGCCTCATTCATGAGAAGATTTGTGTCAATCATGGGAGGTGCTTGTAGGGCTCGCTTGAGAACTGGCATATCATCTTGATTGTGTTGATGATGACTGCTGCTGCTGCTGCTGCTACTACTACTGCTCGGAGTTGGCGGTAGAATAGGAATATCTTGTTCGGATCTTGCAGGGCTAGAGCATGCTCCAGATTCGATACCAGAATCTCCACTGGGGCTTTCGAGCGCCTGTAGTTGCAAGAATAAAATATTCGGGTTAATTTTCATGACATAAATTTTTTGTCTGAGACTATGCAATGTGTTTGTCTCCAAGTTTTAACATGCTATTCTATTTAAATTAAGCTCACCCTTGGGAATTTGTACGGGCAAGTGCCTGCGCTCAGTCTCCGAATGGGTAAGTCATTGTCGTTGCAGGAAGAACCATGGGTACTGTTGCTGTTGGTGTGAAAACTATCCAAAGAGTCAACAGAACTGCTGCTTCGATGACTGCTGGCAATACTAACAGGGGAGTGTTGCATCTGAGAATCTGCAGCGTTTGCCTGATTTTGTTCTTCCATTTTGAATGCCAAGAGCTATAATTAGTTAAATTAGTCAGTCATTAGAAATCAGTCACTCAATCACTCGTTAAATGATTAAACGTATTTATATATGTAACCTACCTTCTCAGAGTGAAGGGTGCTATAATAGAGAAAATAAAGAAAAATACTGGTTAGACACTGTATGAAAATGTACTTGGAATAATTAAAAGCTTAATATACTATGAAAACTTACTTTAGAGTCCTCAAGTCTGGAATTTTTCTGTCCAATTCTTGGATCATGTAAGCTGGGACAAGTGAGTGCAATGCTGAGCGACAATGTCTAAAAACATTAATGAGAAATGTAAGCAAAATGTTTTACAAACACTTATGTAATTTCATATGGAGATTCTTATTAACAGTGTAGTTGGTTACCTTTGAAGTCGCTGTACCAATTCTACATTTCGTAGTCCAGGTCTAAAAGAATTTTAATAAAAGTTGATCTATTAGATTAATTCTATTCACACAAGACTATTGTGTAGAGTATTATCAAGTGTTATTAAGTGGCTTTACCTGTCTGGAGCCAGAACAACCATTGCACAAAAGATGCCAATTTGTTCATCGGAGAGCCCGAGCTTGTTGAATTGCTCAGCGAATTTGAACATGGAATCGAGAAGGAATCTTGCATTCTGGTGAGCAGATACGGTTTCACGTTCTAGAAGCTCTCCATTAATGCAGAGCATGGTATTTCCTGTTCATTCAATTTTATACGATTAGACTCTTTCATCCATACGAAGATAAATAAATAATATCTTTAACCTTGACAGGTTAAAATTTGTTAATCAATTAATAAGTAATTGACTGATTAATTTAATCGCTCACCTTGAAACATGCATGCCAGTCTGACCAAGAGGATTTCAAATACTCCAGCTTTTAGCAATGTGACCTGATCATCTTGTGAAAGTAATGAGAATCCAGGCAATCTTTTCGCAAACTCAACTACGCCACGAATTTGAGGACTGAATCGCTCGCTAAAGTCTTCTGTGGTTGACTGAGGATGTGGATTTAATGGGCAAGCCTATGTGTTGGCAACAATAAACATGTTATTATTATTTTATTATAGAAAGTAGTATGCTCACTCAGTCAATACTGCGTTTTTTCTATGTACAACTTTCTTTTAAATACTTACCAAAGTCATAGAATGACCATCAAAACGAGTCGATGCTTTGTTTTGCTCTTGTTGCTTCTTCAACAATGCATTCTGATAACATTTTTGAACTTTATCTAAGAAAAATACAAATTTCCAAATTCAATCAATATCACCGCTACCTAACTTATTTTATATTCACACAAGACATAATAAAAAATGCATGTCTTACCTTTGGTAAATTCGCAAGTCTCCATGTGGGCACGGATAACGGTCGTAGTCAACTTGTTGATGTCTTCCAATTCAGTGCTCATGGCTCGCTCATTCGCCTTAGCGTTATTACTTTGCTGCATTGCTTCCAAAATCTGGAGCGAAAAATGGTAACACAAAATTGTTAGACTTAACTAAAAAATAGGTCGAAATGGGTTAAGGTAGTTCAGAGTAAATAGAGTAAATTGCTGACCTTTTGTCGTACAACCTTTGGAACTCGACCGAACCGAACGGCTTTAGGATTAAACAAAACGAGACACAATTAGACACTTTTAATGAAAATGTTAACCTAGACCTAATGCCATGAAGACCTAGATTTCTCAATTTCTCAAGCTCTCTCTCTCTCTTTGATTCCTAATACATGCGACGAGTATAAAGTCAGAGTCACCTTGTCCTTGTCTGTTACTCGAGTGGTGATACATATTATATTTTCTCGAAACGGTTTCTTCCAGGAATAGAATTACCTAACCTCCCATACCAAACCATGCCATGATTCACATACGTCGTACGTACTACATATTATTATACGTATCTCAAGTCAGGGTTGTTTTCCACTTTTCCTGTTCATAGACTATCACACTACGGCGACGCACATTTTCAACCTTCTTGTTGACCTTGCAATTCGTTGATCTCACTTCCCGAATAAAACAGCAATATCTACCACCACATATCATCGTGGTGCAGCGAATGAGTCAACAGTTAAAAGATTGACTGAATTAAATTTAGCCTTGATTTCTCACTCCTCTCTCTCTCTCTCTGCTCAAACTGTCAGCATCCTTGCATTTGCATCATGCATTTCTCAACCTCTATCTATCTAGGTATATATACGTACTTATATATGCATTTTGTTATATTATCATTACATTGGTGCATCGATCCAATAGGGTCAAAACCGCCACCCCCACTCGGATGGAGTGGGTGGTTTCCTTCCGCAGCCTGTTGGCTGGCGAACCTCCTCTTCATTTTTGTGGGTGCAACCATTTTGAGACGATATCAGTAACAATTCACACACACGACACAATCCAACCAAATATTTTTTCCACCACCACTGACAATTATTCCAAAATGAATAAAAAATCACGTTTTCTGCTGTCTCGTCTTAAGTTTCACAATCACAGGATTTCTCTTTGCCTCCAAATCTTTCCAACCTCAATTTCATGAGCAACAAGAGTTATTATGATTCCATCCCAAGTAGAACTAACCACGCTTTTATGATATTCACAATGATTCAAAAGTTGCACAGAGTGACGACGACGACGACGACGACTACCCTTGATGAAGTGCACAAAGTGACTGATTTTAGAGAGCTGGCAGCCCTGAGTATGTATGCATCTGTATAACCGGTGTAGAAAGCTACACAGAATAAAGTGCAACGATGATGAGGAGGACTGAGAAAAAGTTGGCTGCTATGATGCCTATTATAATCACGATGATAAGTGAATAGTAGTAGTAGTAGTAGTAAATAGTGGTTGTTTCTTGTAGGATAGGATACCGTTGTTAAGCAAAGCAACGCTAACATGGGTCATCAACCTACAGTTACACTCTGCTCTACTTATTCACAAGCCATGTTTTTTATATTTTATATATTGTATGTACTAGCACAGAGAGAGTTTCATTTATCTTTTCATTGCATCCTATCCCACGGGGTTCATTGGCCCTAATTCATCCCTTTGTTATACACGGTATAGCCAACAACAACACTACCAAATAAATAAAAAATAGCAAAGCGGTGGTGATGGAGTCAAGTTAGCAATTCGTACTCGTGTAGTACGAATACGCAGTCTAAATAAGTATGTATAAGGTTGCATTGCACCATCCACTGCTGCACTTGCATTGCTTGATGATCATTGTTGTGAAATGCTAATAATAATAATGTGAGGTGAGCTTTTCTTTGCACACCGTCTAGAATTAGCTACCTAAATAAGTGTTTACTTTGGTTCGTGTTATGTATTTTTTCTTCAAGTGTATATGTACGTACAATAAGGCTCATTCAAGAATCATATCCCATTTTCGTGTGTCACCATTGCAGTAATGTAGCCCTGATGAGTAAGTAAAAAGTGCGTCGTCTTGAGTTTGTTGAATGGCCCCTGACTCATTCATATTCTGCTTTATTTTGCATATGTGTTATGAACAAGCGAGAGAAGTAGAGTTTGAATAAACAAACCATTAAGTCAGTATTTTGAAGACTATTGTTTAACCAAATATGTGCGACTGCATTTTTATGATGACTGTGAGGTAATGGAGTGCAACGCTAATATACATAAATACGTAATTTTGTGTCATAACTAAATAGTTGTAAAAGTTCAAGTCTAATTTTGGTTCTTGGTCTTCATGACTCTTTATGGAACTGCTTCAAACAAAATGCAAAAAAGAAATAATTGGTACTTACAATCTCTTGACATTCCCGTTTGTACGCATTTCTTCAATCTGCAGTACTGGCATCGATTTCTGTTGACCCGGAGGATACTGCATTGTTGGTTTTTTGTACATGGTCGGTACTGTATTTTTTGTTGGATTGATCTGCGGAAGAACCCCTGCAAAAATAATTCATGACATGAAATGATTGCAGTAATGCACATGAAACTAATCTTAATTTACGTATACTATGTACGTATGTATAACGAAATGAAAAAGTTGTGAAAAGTTATTACAATCAGCAAGAACAAGACTAGTTTGCTTGTGGCATTCTCAAATGCATTGCAACATTTGTACTACTTTCTGCACATTGCGATACATATGCCAATATCACAATGACCCTCACTCGAGAGAGTTCACCGACCCATATATCCCCAACAACAACACTATGCATGATATAATATGCATATGATGATACCGTATAATATGCATCCTTTAAAAAGACGTGTGTACAAATTGGTAAAAGAGGTTTGCCTTGCACCCTCACAAGAATGACCGACACTAGGATGCAAATATTGGACCAAAGTCTTTTATTATTTTAAAATGTTGCTTATGCAAATGCCCGGGTGATTTCTATATTTGAAGAATGGGAACGTTTCCCATATTCTTGGACCAGTCTATGATTTATGCCAAATAGTATTAAATGTACTAAATTACCTTGCAACCTTCGCATGAGTGCACCCCGTAGTGAAATCCTGAAGCCTTATCTCCACACACTCGACACAAAACTGTTGTTCCGTCAAATTCTGAAAAAATTGAGAAAAAAGGCAAAAGTTAGCAACTTTTAAAGACAATACATTGATGACATTCATTTATATTTCACCACCACAAATAATGTAATGTGAGAGAGTATGTGTGCCGTGGTATTTGTAATAATATGGTAACAAACATGAGACGCGACGCTCTCGCATCACATCATCATCAACGTGTGGAGCAGTTCAAGGCTAAAACTTGCATGTGTGCATACGTCTACGTAATACGTACGGCGTATGCCTGCATGCAATGACGAATATGAGACATCCCAACCAACGCTATACTAATTCCGACTTATTTGTAATCAGAAAAATTCATGGACACTTTTCATCATACCGATATCAATGGTGCTGGACACGTTGTTACTCCCACACCCCATGAGTAAATTGTTGTTAGAGTCGCAGTTATTGTAATAATCCATCATTTTGAATCCCTTTGGATCAATGTCCAAGTTGGCTAAGTACATTTAAACAGAGAGCACATTTGCTGTCCAAAATTCCAAGACTGCCACAAACGCACACTTGCTGTGCCACATAAAGTTTTATAAGATAGCTACTTCACCAATGCAATTTCCAAGTGCTGAAACTTGAATCCACACCCACTGTTCTTACACCGAATGATAATAGCAATAATTCCGAAAGTTAACACTGTTGGCTGGTGGGTTGCTTGACCAGTTTTTTGGTTTAACTTGGTTTTAGAGAGAGTCGGTTTAAGAGTGAACTGTTGGCAATGAAAGTGAAATTGAAACTGAACTTGACTGGGTAGCAGTCTGGTTGAGTTCCATTCCAGGAGTGAACGGTCCCATCATCATCATCATCGTTCGGCATTGGTGGGTTTGGGACGCGTTTTCGTTTAACATGCACAGGATTCGAATAGAGGACATAGAACTCCAAAGTATCTCAAGGATACAAATACAATGACCTTCTACTCGGAGTTTGTTGGACAGTAGGGCATTAACCTATTCCTATCCATTCTCCTTCAAAAACTACTACCAAACAACAACCACCTCCCGTTCTGCCCACCACTTTTCCCACATACCACTTTCTGGATCATACTATTTAACCCTTTACTTTCCTCCATACCTTCCCACATGCAATACAGCTTAAGCCTACTCCTTGGTTTGTTGACACCTTGAAACAATTATGCGACTCGGCTTAATACTGGAGGGCAATGTATGTGCATGCAATGTACTCTTATGCACATATGTATCTACATGCATACGAGCATGTATTTGTGTAATGCTAAAAATTCAACAATTCATTGTAATGAGCATGGCATGTGTCCCATGCATTTATTGAGCACATTTGTGAGCTCTTGTGTGGTGGTCAATACACTTTGTTATTTGTTGAGGTTACACCTTGTGTGTATTTTTGTATCGAGTGGACCAAAAACCTGACGCGACGTGCTTTTCTCTGACCATTGACTCCAGCAGCATAGGTCGGAGTGCTCGTCGAATACCCCGGATTACATGTCTGGATTGCGTATTGAGTACTCCGGAGAACAGAGAACTGAAATATCCGATCTATGTATGCTTAGAGGTACATGTAAGAAGAATGTTCACAACAATATTATTGGGGCAATAACGCTTCTCATTGATGACAATAACCTAACCAAACCACGCTAACGCCGTGTTTTCATAGAGAACACCATGACCGAAACCAAGGTTCACTTACTCCGCCCCGAAAGTGCTTCATCTAATGCGTATATTTTATCACTCGTTTAAAAACTATGTACAAACAGGTTGTCCATATTCCTTTCTTTTCTTCTTTCGAGCCCTGCTGCGTCGTAATTAGTTTTCCCATAAGCATACATGCATTTAGCGATTAATGTTACATAAGTAAGGAAAAAAGGCCAAAAGGGGACAAGAAACTGGATGGGGAATTTGAACCTTTTTCCTTGAAGGGAGCAGATGTATGAACTCACGTGAGCAGGATAAAAGCTGATGTAGGTCCCTTCACACCGGAAACAAAGTGTTGCCTTAATAAGCGTTTTAAGTAAATAATGAATCAATGGTAATCCCTTTACTTTTTCTTATTACTACCGAATTGTTAAATTATGTAGGTTAACGACCTGAAGTCGTTCAATATATGAAATTTAATAGATTTGCACAGAATGCATAAAAGAGAGCACAAGACAATGCAAATTATTTGTATCAACTAGTATTACGCACACTGCAAGAAATTAAAGCATCAACAAATGTAGGTCTCCAATTTTTGCTAAGAAAGATATTTAGATAGGTCAAAGAATATGCACAGATTAGCATATGAAAATAAAACCTTATGCCCAAATTGCAATGTAACAACGACTCCTTCCGTAAAAAAGTAAATCTGGTTTTGATTAATAATTTTTGGAAAGATGAATGCAGATTCTACAATAATTGATAATCTATGTGCAAATTGAAGGTGTATTGCACTTTATGAGAGAGAGAAAAAAAACACTGCTGCGATACACTTACATACATTGCATGCTGATAAGAAAGATAGCATATTTAGTCGAGCGACGACGACGCTGGTTTGTTATTGGTGGGAGAGAGGGGGATGAATAACCTGAAGATAGGTGGGAGCGAGAAAACCTGTCGGTACAGCTTTCCACAGCCCGAGTCAGGGTGTCCAATTGGTTATATGCAGGGCAAGGTACGTCTGTGCTTATGAGAGAAAGTCTGTGGGAGAAAGTAGACTGGGGTTTGCTTCGTGAAAGTTAATTTGACGCCTCTTATGCGTAGATCGTTATTTCGCTGTGCAGATGGGGCGAAGCGAGATTTGTGAGACTACATAATTGGTAGTAGTGAAAGCAGTCTAATGTTGCCCCCTTTTCAAGCAATGTAATAAATAGTGACCGATTTTCCTCATGTTAGACATTGATTCATGTGTACCAAGTCTCATACAGAATAAGATCAGTCTAACAAGAGACTTATCCAAAGGCAGACAAACAGACACGACTCGTGCATAAGGCTCGACTCGGCTGAAAAGTAAAGTAATTGAGTTCATGGTCACGTTATACGAGTCAGATAGTGTTTTCGTCCACGAGTTCGTTCAACTCAACCCTTTGCTCACAATAATAGGTTGCTTGCTCTCCCACCAACCACCAACTCTCTTATTAGTCGCTCGCTTATGAAACTTATGTGTGTTACTACATCCCATCCACCACGAGAGATAGTTGGCATTTTGGATAGAGTTTAGTATGTTTTTGGGAATGGACGACTTGCTTCTTTCTTTTCGAGAATAATGTTTCAACAACTGCATCCACCACCACGTCGTCATCTTCTCCTTCATACAAACTTGTGTGCATAATAACCACACGTATACCCGGCTTGCCTTTCTTAGTATGTTACTGTATGGCAACTTATTATTCGCAAATCCGTATATTATAAAAGAGGTTACAATGAACCGTGAGGGAATGAGTTGCTTATTATTTGCACTCTACTTTGCAAATTCAAAGCTCGCTAAGGTAGACATGTGTATAGCAATAATAATGAATGACGGGTTAAGGAACTCGAGTTATGTTCTTATTATTATTTGTGGTTGTACATCGTCTCGTCATCATCATCATCGTCGTCATAGACTTTTGTCGGCTCACCTAACTTTAATGGTCCACTATGTATGTACACGTGCATTATGAGATAATTTGTAATTATAGCGTTCCGGAGGAATATGCAAAAATAAGACTATATCCAGACTTCAGTCACTCTCTGGAAATTGATTGTTCCCATTATTGATAACAAAAGTGGAATATGGGGAAAGTGAAATTACCACGAAGAATACAGAGCCAGAGGGTTATTGACTTGACATCATCGCATCATCCTCGGTCATTGAATGTATACTATTTATTGTACGCTCAATAATAACAACACGTTCCAAATTATGGAGGTGTTTATTACTCACACCTCGAAATAAATAAAAATGTTAACTTTATGATAAAAGTTTAATTTATATGGATCAGAGACTCGAAGAATTTAATTTAATTTTTTTATTGACAGTCCGGCTTATATAGAAATGCAAATACATATATAATTAATTATGTACTAGAAATTCAAGTTTGAGAAAAAACACTCTCACTCTGTATATCAATTTCATATCTGAATAAAATATGTATGATTGTTTGTTTTACAAATAAGGTAGTTTGCTCATGTCTCATACACACACACACGAGAGAGCGAGGCAAGAGAATAATATGTAATCCGGCTCTCATTCCATCATCATCTCGTTTTGTGTCAACTTAATCGTATCGTCACCGTGGGGTCAGAAAACTGCGAAAGGCTACCGACCTAAATCCAGCAGCAGCCGTTGTACGTGGCATTGGCACATTATTATCGAATCCTCATTACATCCACCCACTCATTTTCCTTTGCTCTGTGTTCCTATGCCGTCGCTAAATAAGAGGGCGCGATGCGATTGACTGGAGCGTGTGACAAACTTTTGCTCGGGAAGAATCATGTCATAGATGAAAAAGACAGTGCAGAATGGTGTGCTAATTGGCAACCGTTTCTGAACTTCTCAAATGGGTCGATGACTTTTAAAATATGGGTGGTTTGGTTTAGTTTAAGCCAAGAAACTGGTCTACCATCCAAATTTATTGTTCCATTTAAGGAAAAAGAGAAACCAAGTCTTAGGACGCTGTGTATTCTTTTAACTTGATGCTTGACTTGGCATGGCTTGACGAAAAATTCTTTCTTTTGAAAGTATTTCAAACCATGATGGCATGACGAGTTTAGAAAAGGTAGGCCGACGCCAGCAGATTTATTTAGCCAAAAGACATCACAACAATAATGTATGTATGTACATACAGGCAGGCAGCAAAATAGCAGCAGTGGCAACCCTTTCATAAAAGTGGAAATGGGTGAGAAAAGTGAATGACACGCATCGACTAGGTTTTTATACTAATGCCTGTTGCTAATAGCGTAGGATGAAATACCAACAATCGAATCGACGACTATCTTAAGTGTGTTCATGTTAGAACACTATCAGGATTTGAGGATTTACAGGTTTCCCCACATGTACGCACAAGCAGAAAGAGAGAGAGGAAGCTCTTCCTTCCGCTGCACTTTCAACTTCTTCCGAGCGAGCGAGGTCATTGCCGTCGTCGTCATTTTTTACTACTTGATTGCAATAGTGTTGTGTGCTGCTACACAAGATAAATTATATGTACACCTTGCAATTTGCTTGCAAAAAGGGGCAAGTTATCAGCCAACGCTCCCACAAATATCCCTAAGTGAACTTGTGATTTGACTTGTCGTGTGACGTAAGTATGTATGTACATAAGCTCTTCCCATCTATCAGCGTGCCATACCTATGGATATATGCATACACCAGTTATTGTCTGTCCAACGACCTGTCCCTCTTTTTTACACAGATGTACATCATACTCATCATCATCATTACTAACCAAATGTACATATGTACAGACACACATACCTAATACTTCCTCATCCATCCTTTTTCAGCACCTGTTATTTACACCTCGTTTAATAAAGGGTTTCCACGAAATTCTTAAATGATTATTGTTAAGTAAATCAGCTCGAAATGAAATGTCGTACATGCATAATTAGCCAGGACTCTTGTAATGGATGTTGCTGTGGATTGATGAAGGTAGGTGACGATATTACGGGAGGTGATGGAACTGAACTTTATGGTTCATCCGGAAATGAATAACTGTCAACTATTATTACGTGTCAGATTGCTGTGCTAAATACTTGACTCCTTTGCTACTACGTATTCTTGTATGTAGCTGCAACATTTCAATCAAACACGCAATGCATGCAAAAAAAGTTTAACTTTGCTAATATGACCTTCAGCAGTCGTTGAACTCACGTCGAGAGCAGGGTGTGCAATAACGAGCTGGGCTTTCAATTTGCAATTGTTCAAGTAGCAAAATTTGTAATTAGCACAATAACCTCTACCACGCACTGCTTAAGTGCAAAGTTGATAGTGTGTATATGCTGCTGGTTCGTTACGAAATCTCACTTTGTCAAATAATAAAGAGTCAAGTCAATAATACAGCAAACATTTCATTAAGAAATATGTATTATCTACATATGTACATACACACAAAGTGGCATTGCACCACTGTTCTGTCAGTGGTTATTCCAATGAGATTTTGACGAGCTTTCACTTGCATTTTGTATGTGCATCTTTAATCATGTGTCGATTACATAAAGTTCTCCTTGTAATTACTCTATGCATTCATATTAGCTGTAACATAATGCCAGCTAACGGGTATTAATGGTGCCCATTACTCACCACTGATATGTATACATGTGGACACAACATATACATATTTGGAGTAAAATAGTTACGATGATGGTGTCATCAACTTATGTAAAAAATTATGTAGGAATTAGCAATTCAGCGAAAAAAGTAGAGTTCCATAATATGAACCAATTTGTAAACAATTAACCGTAAATCCATACAGAGTAAATAGTTTATGTTCATGCGGGCAAGGCGAGTTGGAGAGGTGGTGGGGGAGAGGAAGTAAGTTGGATACAGGATTTGCACCTCAAGTCAAGTAGTAGTAAAAAACTAAATGACATAATAACATGATGATGAATGCACGAAAGAGTTGAACAACCTAAAGTCAAATCAATGTACTCATGCAACATGAATGCCGAACGATGCCCTCAATCTCGAAATAAGAACTTGCAAGCCCAACAAAGCCCCAGTTATTTGCAACAACATAGCACCCCCAACCATCGTCAGAGACTGTCCACATACCACACGGGTAGTACACTTGCTACCTTTTGCATACCTAATCCCGGGTGAAAGCCCTGCCTGATTCAGGAGAATTGACGCACCAAATGTTGTAATGATTTAGTCACCACGCAGGAGTCGTATCACCCCCAAAAATTGCTGCAGCATAAAATTCATAGCGATTGCATCTCGTCGAGCAATAATGTGTAGTTGCTGCTGCCTACAATATCGCATCAAACTCGCAAGAGAGAGAGTATGCGAGCGAGGAGGTGAATGAACTGGGAGTGCGAAAGTAGGACACTATGTCACCAACCACAACTCTGATGATACTGTAATAATGACTTTACTGCCAATGCTGCTGTTTACCAGAGCTGTTGCGGAATATGGAGCAACCAACTTGTGTAAGTAAGTACTTGTCAACATTTATTATTAGAGGAGAAAGCACGGTGGAGGTGGCTATACGCGTTCGCATGAAGTGTTGGCTTTATAATGTGGACACGGTTCCACCCTCTCAAATCTGGATCATCACAACTTTACACACTCTTCGCTAACCTCCATTCATTCAGGATACATAGATGAACAAACTCCATCTGGACAAGTTGCTGTTGGTTTTGAGGTCAATTCAGCAGCCAGCACATACTCCTCTTTAAACCCAGAGATGAATGTATGTACATATATGCGATAAATATGGATATGCTGAGATGAGACGAGTGAATACTGGGTCATACAAAATATGTCCTTTACGAACATGACATGGTGGGTCGTCACAATGTCTCGCCGACTGGGCAATACTTGGAATTATTATTTGCCTAAATTGTTGTTTTTACATAACATTTAACTAAACCCGGAATTGAGCACACATCACGCCACAAACAGAGTATGCATATTAGTTGGATAGATATGTACATATGCATAACTCTGAACGGACGGTTCCGGTTTATCCACTGAAATATGAACATGTTTTGCTGAAATACCTAGGATTGATCCTAGTTTGATGAGAGGGCAAGGAACTTTGGAACCTATGTATGTACATATATCCTATTATATACACACGCGTATATACGTACGTATGTACATATGGCTTCTACCGGAACCGTGTGTTTTGTGGCACAAGGACATAGAGTATGTACATATAAAGACCATACTGAGGCTTTTATCTGGTATATGTACAATGGAAGGTTCAACGAACTTGGGTGACGGTGACGTGCAACCAACCTCGATTTTGCAAATTTGGGTCATCCCGTACTACTCATGCTAAAAGTCTAGCTCTACTCAGCCCTTTCTTTACAGCACAGGCATATATACATTTTGCTCGTCCCAACTATTTTGCCAACCACCACCGCCACCAGTTCGTTGACCTCCTGATAAAGATATGGGTTGAATCTCAGCGCTTTAACAACAATGTGTTAGTTTTTATATTACGTATGCAGCCGCCGTAGTGCAACAACTACATTATGCACCTTGCCTCTAATTATGATTCATCATTGTTACCAAAGAGTGACATAAGTTGCAGTAAAATTACCGGATAGGAGGACTTTTCCCACGTGATGACCACAGAAGAGGACGTTGCTGTCCTCCTCCTCCCCTTGGTCCTCCTCCTCAGGTTCGGACTCTGCTTCCGGTTCTGGAGACGTGAAGCTGCTGGTGGGGGAACTTTCACCAGGAAAAGAGTCAGCAGGAGACAATTCTCCACAGTATTCATCTCCACTTATGTCCACCACGACGGGGGGAGTGGTGGTGAGAAGTGGTGGGGGTGGAGGAGTTTGACTCTGGTGGTGATGGTGAACATAGTGTTGGACCAGTTCCTCAGTCTCATTAAGTAACACCTGAGGCCCATCACTGAGAAGACTTAGCAATTGAGATGACTTGTGATTAGTGTTGCTGGAGTCGTACTTGCTCTCCAGAAATTTGATAATATTTTGATTATTTCCAGAGGAGGAGGAGGAATCATCCGATTCAACATCAGACGACGAGTCTGCAGTGCAGCCACGACCACCACCACCTTTTTGTTTTTGCAACTTCTTGCAATAATTGTTTCTTAACTTATCATAACTTTTCTGCTTTAACTTGGTCACCGTCATTGTTGTGACTTGTTTTGAGTGAGATTTGATTTTGTACTTGCAGTAATTGAGAGTATGAATGTGTGTACGTACGTACGTATGCACGTATGCGTGATGGTAGAGAACAAGTTGATGGGAATCTTTACAGTTGGTGGGTTTGTTTTGGTTGTAAATGTTCTTGTTTGTGGTGTAACTGAACCGTTTGATGGTTCATATATATTTCCCTTTGTTGCTTTGATGATGATTATAACAATGCAGTATGATAATAATGGGTAGTTGGTTGGTTGGTTAAGACAGGAAGAAGTAGGAGACGTAGGAGCAGATGAGAAAAAAAACTTTTTTCACAGTTCTTTAGGTTGGGCGAGTTTTTGAGCTCAGTTAACAATCGGGATTTAAGATTAGTGTAACAATGTGAACTAAATAACGGGTTCTTGTGCAGTACCCAGCAGCAGCAGGGAATCCTTTCTCTCTCTTCTTCTGCCGAATGCCAAAACCAATGACTGACTGACTGAGTCTCTCTGAACATTGTAAGCGTTCGTAGCAGAAGCAGTACCAATAGCACCACTCCGGCTCAAGCCAAAAGTTGAGGACGACGCGAAATGCGAACCTCAGCGACGCACAGTTTCATATAATGCATGAATCCATGTGTATTTACATACTACTATCGCAAAAAAAACTGTGGTACGTGCCATTTACGAATTTCGCACAATGTAGAGCTATAAAAGAGTGTATATAAATATATGTAGCTAACTTATGTAGTTGCATGACGTTGGCCTCCTTCAATTTGTTCTACTACTACCAATTAGGTAACTGTAATAAATTTATTTGCCTCGTCCATATTCCCGCACGACACGACACGAACAAGTCATTGACATTTGTCTGTTGACAATGAAATTCTTTTTACGTGGCAGATATTCCGTCATTATTACATAATCTTATTAATCTAGAAAGATTAATTTGTGATTTATTTAATTAGTTTGTATTTATCATAATGAGTTTTGCTCAGATAAATAATAAGGCAGTGCGTAGAACAAAACCAGTAGTAAAAGTGGACTTGTACTTTTTCTTAAATACAATTGAACCATGAAGCTGGTACGTGTATTATCAAGCAGTAATTAAATCTTAAATTTATTCAACCGAATCCACTCTCCCATTATTTTATAGCAAACTCATCTTCAAATTTTAAGCACAACAATTACGAGGTAGTTTTTGATTGTTGTTTTACTGTGGTATAAATTTTTGAGATGCAGATTATATAATTTCGAGTAAAAGTATAACAATCTCGCTTTACATTTTTAATTACTCTCATTTCTTAATCACATCTTCACTCCCACAACTTTCAGTCTCAGATTTAAATCTTCAATTAAACCCCTAATTATTTAAACAAATGGTTAATGCATCTTTTAAACAAATCTGTTGGTTATCATGCATGTGGGTTCAGAATGCTCTAGTTTAATCCGAGAGTGAGAGAGCAATAACACTTGAAATTTCCAGAAGAAATGAATAATCGGAACATTGTGATTTTGGGTCAGATTTTATTGTCAACTATTTATGGCCTATAGCTAAACGAGTTACTTTAAGTTAACGGGTTCACAGTTCAGTTACCTTTGCTTTGCATTCAAATACATAGTTCTACTTGGTCGGTCGCCTATTTATTATCAGTCAGTGGGGATTCTGAGTAAACTACATAAAAAATGCCTCTTTTTCTACACATATTATTATTACTCAAGTATTTAGGTAAAAGCAAATATGACGCTATATTCTATTTACCATGCAGCGTGTGTGCGTGGATGTGCAATAGGGAAACGGGAAACGGGAAGAAACCTGAACAGAGTAAAGGGAATTCCTATACTTCTACAAAGCACTTGAATCTAGTAACAAGAAAAGGCAGGTGCGGGTTTGAAAGCACGTACATACACACCAGTAACCACCAGTAACACCAAGTACCGTGTGCTGTTCTTTCACCCATATTCTCAAAATATATTTATTATGTGTGTTTCTAGGAATTGTTTATGAGCAGTTTAGTCACCCAACAACAATGAAATAAAGTTGGCCCCATGGCCTTTGAGACACATATTTGAGGGCCTTACATCAGGTGAATGAACTGCGTGAAAGGACAGTCTTGACCCTGCTTCTGCCCGACCCTTATTCACGTGAATAGTACGACTAACTGAACCTGTCAATCTCATATTGACGAAAATTTCCATACTAAACCCTTCATAAATATGTACATACATACTTTTCTCACATAATAAATAATTCAGCAATTCGTATGTATATCGCTTAGTCTTATGTGATTCAATTGCTCTATTTATAAATTGAATAATAACTGCGTAATGTTACCGGAAGTTAAGGCGAATAACAACTTGAGCATCTCGAGATCTACATAATAATGCACTTATTAGCCCTTGGTCGTCGTCCGACTGACAGAATTTGTTTGCTCTTTTTTTGCCATTATTACGTTATTGTTGTACAAGACGCTCGTCGAGGAAGGTGGTGGTGGACTCGACTCCTCAAAGATTTCTTTGTTGGGCTTCTTACTTAAGAGCGTCAAGAAGAAGAGTGAGTGAATCATTATTATGTATGTAACTACGAACGATGGCGATGATGGGTGAGTAAAGTGCTGCATTATGAGGACGACGACGACGGTGTTGTTACGGTAAAATTAACCAGCACTAACCAAATCGAGTCACACAAGAGAAGAATAAAGTAACGTAATGAGATTGAATAATAGAAATTTCATGACTCACTCTACTTAACTACAAAGTAACAACAGCTTGTCATGCTTAAATAATATTTCAAACTTGAGAACATAATGATACCCACATAACTGATTTTATTTATTTACCAAGTGGGAAGAAATAACCGTGTACATAGTAAAAAGACTTTTTTTTTGCATTACTCGCTCTCATATATTGCACAATGGATGAATGAATGGATGAATACGTCTTGTTAGAGAGGATTACATTATATTATTGAGCACTAATAAGTAACTGCACAGCGGGCAATTTCCACCAATAATTCGAACTCTGCTACTCCACAAAATAGAATGGAGGTTGCTGAAATTCCCAGAAGGCATGCATAATACTTGAAAAGTTGAGCAATTTCATATCATCATTAGCATCACTACTTGCGGCCAATGTCCGTGTCACCTTTTTCTTGCCCCACTACATACAATCTAAAATTAACTAATCATCATCTAATGACCCATAAGCAAATTCAAGAGCACGAGTTGAGGACATTACAGTAAATGTTTTATGAATAAAATAGATTCAACTGTGGAATACGAAGCCTTCGATATCGTGTAGAATTTTAGCTTGACTTCTTTTAATTATCGTAATTAATTGGTGATACCCTTTCACCAGCGTAAAGAGAACAGCAAATATGTACGTAGGCTTAGCTATTGCAGAGCAGACTCCAAGGTTCTCTTATAATTTAGTTAACTGAAATTAAATTTGATACTCTATACGAAATATATGGAGTAATTCTATAGAGTGAGAGGGTCGTTGAACCTCCTTGTAGTCATCGTCGGCGGCGGTGGTGGTGGTGGAAATAGGTGACCTAGATTGCATCGGCACAAAATAATAGCGCAAGAAAATGAAACTACAGAGTTCAATAAACTCGTAACCCAGGGAAAATTTTAGTATCCCACTCCTACTCCTCGTAGCACTTTATAATTTGTCCCACCAACATAGCTGCCATTAATTGCTCCAGTATTTCTATTAAAAAACATGAAATAATTTGGAGCTACTGCCTGGATTATGCAAGAATGACTGGACGAGACTTTGTGTATTTAGTTTAGGAAAAAAGAGTAAATTTGATCACAAGAAGATCTCATTTGGCAAAGGAAATGCATATTATGTCATGTGTGTGTTTGTGTGTGATGAGTGGGGCTGTGACCCTTTTTGATTTGACTTGACACCAATTTCGGTATAATCCACCACCACGTATACTCTCGAATCTCCATTTTGGATGGGATGTAACAAATAATATGTGTACGCAAGATTAGATAGAGGATATCAAAAGTTGTAAAAAACTGTGAATGAAAAATAAGGAATTGGTGAATAGTGGTGATAATTACGTTTTTACGTATTGCTGGGTATCATTAAAACAGACTAAACTTGGGGTTTGCATAGGTATATAATACTTTTGAGATACGTGTGTAATTCATTTCGGTGGCATTTTGCGCATTGAATTTTTTTCCTGATGCACTTGACTAGTTGCATTGTTGAACAATGATTATCAACTTGTTTGTTGGCTCATGAGTTGACTACAAATTAGATGCAAAAGGAAAATGCTTTTGCTTTTTCATTGACGATGCAACTCGCAAGATGCAAAAGAAGATGAATCATTTCATGGGCTGGGTGGCAAAAGTACAATTTACAACAAGTTGTAAGCAAGTAGGATTGATCATTATGAAATGCGATGGCGTTGGCGTGCGTGCCCGGCAGATAGGAGTCGTTGTTCGCCGACAACGACCACGGAACACAAACTGCTCAGGGGCTGACAATGCGTATAAATAATTCCTGATTGCGTGAACGTGGGCCGAGTCTCGTAAGTGTACGCACCGTTATTCGAAACAGGAGCACCAAGCTGCACCAGCTCGCACGATGTTATAACACGGTGACACGAGACGAGTGTAAACCAAAGACCCGGAAACATGGTCCCCTATTTCGGAAAAGTTCGGATTTTACTTCTTTTCTTTGGTGGAGGAAGACTGAGGAAGGGGAATTTCTGATTACTTGGTGCTTTTCTCTCTGGTGCAAGTAATGCATTGAGTCAGGAGGATGTTGGTCTCCATCCTCCCCCACATTCCATAATGCGTCTCCGAGAAGGGAGAAAGTTTCCATGATCACTCCTCGCATCCTGTACGTACGTACTTTGTCCATGCTCCTACTACTCCTACCACCATGTTATTAGATAATAATCCTTCTCCACTGCAGCCAGATAAAAGGCTGCGTGTAGTCGGCTACGAGGGTACGAGGAAGGAATAAGTGGACTAGTGCAACCACCAAGCAGGCAGTACATTCGACTGCATTGCATCCATCCATCCGTTTCTACATTCTATTCCTTTCTCGGGAACTTTCCCCAACTCCAAAATATCCTCTCTTTCACTAGTTTCACTGGAATGGAACCACCACCACATTGATCCAGTTGCTGCTGCTTCCATTTCTCCCGTATTATCATCATATAGGTTTCTCCTACTATTTCCACTACTACGACCACTACCACCTACTCCATATTCTATGCAACCGGGTTCTCTCTCTCCACCCGCACCCGGCATTTTCTCCTTCCTCTAATATGCGTTCCCTGGCTGCGTCAATCCCATTTACGCACAAAGACTTTTACTTACTTTCGAAATCTATGTATACATACGAGATATACATTGCATATATATATGTGCATATACCCCTGCCTTTCTCTCGCACCCTTCCACCCTTCCTCCCTCCTGCCTGCTTTCGTCGTCTTGGTGGAAA